GTGATCCGCCTGCCTCGGCCTCCCAAAGTGCTGGGATTACAGGCGTGAGCCACTACACCCAGCCAAAACTTGGTAATTTTCATTGCAGATTTCCAAATGTTAAACAAGCAGGAGATGGCTCTGCTTAATGGCTACTGCTTGTGCCAGGCTACTATCGACTCAAGTGGGGATGGTGCCATGTGAGAGGGGCTGAAGAAGAGATGCGGAGCCAGTGAATAACACGACAGTCCAGGAGCAGTGGGCGGGACAGGAAAATTGCTACCGTTTTTAAAAAGCATGTAGTTTAACATATCATTTTCACTTAGCAACTTCTACCTAGCAACTTCCACTTAACCCAATACAAAGGGCCACCATCCCCTGTACAGCCTGCATTCCAAGGAATGGGCAAGGGGTACAGATGTCCTTCATTGGTAAGGAGTGAGTCTCTGGGTTGGCCACACCTGGATTCCTTAACTTTGGAACTCCAAACATACATTCTTCTTAGGCCACAGGGTCACTTCCCAGGGCATGCCTGAGTTATTGTTGTCAAGTATGTCTGCCATAGGCTGCAACTCAAGATGGTAGAGAAAGAGCTAAGTGGCAGAGCATGGTGGCTCACACCTGTAATCCTGGCACTTTGGGAGGCTGAGGTGGGCAGTTCACTTGAGGTCAGGATTTTGAGACCAGCCTGGCCAACATGGCGAAACCCCATCTCTACAAAAATTGAAAAATTAGCTGGATGTGGTGGTGGGTGCCTATAGTCCCAGCTACTCAGGAGGCTGAGACAGAATGGCTTGAACCCAAGAGGTGGAGGTTGCAATGAGCTGAGACCATGCCACTGTACTCCAGCCTGGGTGACAGGGCAAGACTTCATCTCAAAAAGAAAGAAAAAAAAGAGCTAGGTGCCTTGCTTGCTGACAGATCTAGATTTAAAATCTTTTTAGGGATTCAGAGTAAGGATCAGACAACTATGGCCCACTGCCTATTTTTGTATGGCCTCAAGCTAAGAATGATTTTTATCTTAAAGGCTCAGAGGGAAACCAAGCCTTGATACAAAGCAGCCTATGTAGTGAAGCCCTTTTAGGTGAGAGGTATTAACTGTGAAATAATAGGTTTGGATTAGAGCAGTGGTTTGTGACTTTGGGGTGGAAAGTCACAGATCTAAACTCTAGAATTATGAATTCTACCCTAAAAATGCTCATATAGAAGCCAGCCAGGCGTGGTAGCTCACGCCTGTAATCCAAGCACTTTGAAGGCCAAAGTGGGTGGATCACCTGAAGTCAGGATTTCACGACCAGCCTGACCAACATGGTGAAACCCCGTCTTAAAATAAATAAATAAAAAGTTTAAATAATTTTTTTAAATTAAAAAATAATAAAAATGCTCATATACAAAACAGCCTATTCTATTCCTCTGCATCTCAGGCCCCACAGTAAGCACTTAATTACTGCTAATATTGTTATTGGTCCGCTCAGGCTGCCATAAAAGAACACCATGGGCTGAGTGGCTTAAACCACAGAAATTTATTTTCTCACCGTTTTGGAGGTTGGAAATCCAAAATCAAGGAGATGGCCAGGGTTGGTATCTGGTGAGGCCTTTCTTCCTGGTGTATAGACAGATAGCTGCCCTCTCCCTGTGTCCTCACAGGGCCTTTCCTCCATGCAGGCAAACTCCTGGTGCGCCTTCCTCGTATCCCTTTTATTTACTTATTTTTTGAGACAGAGTTTCGCTCTCGTTGCCCAGGCTGCAGTGCAATGGTGTGATCTTGACTCACCACAACCTCTGCCTCCTGGGTTCAAGTTATTTTCCTGCCTCAGCCTCCCAAGTAGCTGGGATTACAGGCATGTGCCACCATGCCCTGCTAATTTTGTATTTTTAGTAGAGATGGGGTTTCTCCATGTTGGTCAGGCTGGCCTTGAACTCCCAACCTCAGGTAATCTGCCTGCCTTGGCCTCCCAAAGTGCTGGGATTACAGACGCAAGCCACCACACCAGGCTGTGCCTTCCTATTAGCAGGGCACTTGTCCTGTTGGATTAGGGCCTTATTCTTATGACCTCATTTAACTTTATCCCCTTATAAAGGCTCTATCTGCAATCACATAGCAGATTAGGCCTTAACCTGTGAATTTTAGGGGGACACAATTCAGTCCATAACAATGTAAATAATAAATCTGAGTATAATTGAGTACTGTATTTACATTAAGAATTTTTACCTCTTTTAAGTTGAGACCATGTGTCCAGGTGGTTTGTTGCTGATTCCTAGGCACACATTGAGGATTCCTATTTGTTGAATTAACGAATGCTGGTGAGATCAGACTAACAAGAAAATTCACGCAGGGATAGAAGGTGCTAATTTAAATATCACAGAATAAAATGCCTCAGAGAAGAAACTCAGACTAATCTAATCAAGGCAAGTTCCGTACCTCCCTCCCCTTTTTAAGCAAGACTACCTATGGTTGGAATTAGCATGTAAAAGGATTTCGTTGCTGGCATTAGGACATTTACAGATTAAGAGTCAAAGCCAGAGTTCAAGTGGTTTATACAGGGTATGGGCAGATGCTGGAGAGTCAGAAGAAGAAACTGAGACCTGGAGCCTTAAATGGTAAACTGTGTGCCTGTTTGAACTGGAAAACCATTCATAACGTTGGCAGAAAAGAAAGTGGTAGATTAGGTTAATTTAAAAACTATTTCAAATAATTTTTCTTTCTTTGAGATTTTCACTCTGTCATCCAGGCTGGAGTGCAGTGGTGCAATCTCGGGTCACTGCAACCTCCGCCTCCTGGTTTAAGTGATTCTCCTGTCTCAGCCTCCTGTATAGCTGGGATTTACAGGCACATGCCAGCACACTGGGTTAATTTTTGTATTTTTAGTAGAGATGGGGTTTTGCCAGTGAGGCTGGTCTCGAACTCCTGACCTCAAGTCATCTGCCCACTTTGGCCTCTAAAGGGTTGGGATTACAGATGTGAGCAACCATGCCCAGCCTATTTCAAAGAATTTTGAGTAATAAAATTCAGGGAAATGTACTACAAATCTGTAAAGTGATTCAGCTAAAATAGCTCTGATAAAATCAGGCCCATTGGGTTTTTGTTTGGTGGAAGGGAGGGGGATGTTTACATTATAATGCTACCAATTTCTGTGTGGAATTTGTATTGTCCTAAACTGTGAATTAGATCAAAGCTGAAAATTGAAGGGTCAATCCTCTAGCAGCAGGGATACCTTCTACTCCATTTTGAAGAAAATCTGATGAAAATTTAAGGGACTTTGTGTCCAAGTTGAGCGCTCTCTCCTTCATTGTTTGATTCTGCCTTTCAAAAGTCATTTTGATCAGTTTATATCAAAATTACATTCCTAACAAATTCTGGTTTGTCCTTCAAATGAAATTAGGGTTATTTATAGACAACTGTGGTAGCACATGTAGTATTTGGTGTCTCAGTTTAGCATAATAAAGGCTAATACAATATAGTGTTCCAATAAAAGTATGTCTTAATCTAATAGGGCAATATTCTAAATAACAAACATCAGAAGTACTTTTTTTTTTTTTTTGAGACAGGGTCTCATTCTGTCATCCAGGCTGGAGTGCAGTGGCATGATCTTGGCTCAGTGCAACCTCTGCCTCCTGAGTTCAAGCAGTTCTCGTGCTTCCACCTCCGAAGTAGCTGGGGCTACAGGCATGAGACACTATGCTTGGTGAATTTTTTTTTTTTGTAGAGAGGAGGTTTTGCCATATTATCCACGCTGGTCTTGAACTCCTGGGTTCAAGTGATCCACCCACCTTGGCCTCCCAAAGTGGTGGGATTACAGGCATGAGCCACTGTACCTGGCTTGCATTCATTTTTTAAGTTAAGTTATATAAATGTTTTGTTGCTTCAAGAGAAGAAGAGATGCCAGGGTGTGCTTTTTAAAAAATTTATCTATGTAAACACATCTTAATACTAATTTGAGTCACTACTTTTATTCTTTATTATCACATTTTCCAAGTTTTGGCACCGAAACTTGGCAAACATCATGTAGATTTGTACAAACATACATATACATATATACACATATTTATAGCCCCAGCTTCCTCATTAAACTTTGTGCTCAGGCTCCTGTTAAAAGAGGTAAAATGGTGAGAAGATAAAAATCAGGGAAAACATGAATAAATCCTGATTGACAAATCTTGTTATGAATTAAGGCAGACATTTTAAAGCAAAATCCACCACCTTACTAAAATTTCCACTAAGCTACAGCTTCAGATACTTACAAGAAAAATAAACATCTTTTTTTTTTTGGAGACGAAGTTTCGCTCTTGTTACCCAGGCTGGAGTGCATGGCCCGATCTCAGCTCACTGCAACCTCCGCCTTCTGGGTTCAAACAATTCTCCGGCCTCAGCCTCCCGAGTAGCTGGGACTACAGGCGTGCACCACCATGCCCAGCTAATTTTTGTATTTTTAGTAGAGACGGGGTTTCACCTTGTTGACCAGGATGGTCTCAATCTCTTGACCTCGTGATCCACCCGCCTCAGCCTCCCAAAGTGCTGGGATTATAGGCGTGAGCCACCGTGCCTGGCCAAAATAAACATCTTTTAACATACTTCAATGTGGTTTAACAGCAAGCTAGCTGAGGAGTTGTATTTTGTTGTTATTTCAGGTAACTTTTAATTAAGAAACAGTTAATATTTCAGTGATTAAAATTTCAGGTGTTCAAAACTCAGGAAGGGTCATCATTATACTCTGAAGCAAAATTCTTCAGGTACTCATCTTTAAATAACTACCCAAATCCATCACAGTCGCTTTCAACTTTTAAAAGCATTTAATGTTTGGTAACTAGTTTTTTTTTTCCCCAATGTTTGGTAACTGAAGAGTAGATGTGATTAGTGTACTCTCGGTCTTTTGATATTATTTTTCTCTGTAGAAGCTTTCCTCTTTTGTGATAAGCCAGGCCCAAGTTCCTTATTTTTCTGAAGAAATGAAATAGCTTCTGGAAGACAGTAATTTTCTATATGAGGAGGTGATTCCTATAAAAGGAAAAATAAATGATTTTTTAAATGATTTCAAACATTTACATGATCTGTAATATATATTTTTTAAAAAATCTCAGCCCTCTCAGGGATGAAGCTAATAAAGGAAAATGCATATTCATTCCTGGATTCCAGCAAATCAAACAAAATGGACGCTGCGGGACAAAGTCTCACCTTTATCAGAGAACTACGTGTATAGCTCAGGTAGAGTGAGGCAAGTCAGATGTTACAAACATTTCTTATCAGTGTTTTTAATCCCCACTTTAGAGATAAAAATGAAAAAGGTTAAATAAAACAACCAATGTCACATAACTAGCAGGGTAGCAAAGCCAAAATTCATACCCTACATACCCTATCTGAGTCCAAAACCCTTGCATTTCCCCCCTACAACCAATAGAGAAGAAGTGGATCTTACCCCCCTTATTATGAGTGTAATAAAACTTAAATTTCTAGCAACATGGCAGACTGGGCAACCTGAAAATGAATCACCACAAAATACCAAGTAAGTGCCTTTTGATTCAGTTCTTCCATGGATAACAACTACAAATTCTAACCAAAATATATTAAAAGCAACCACAGACCCTGGAGAATAAATAAATCAAGCAAACAGGGGGGCTGGGGGGTGCAAATGCAGTGTATGAAGTACATTGCCTGCTAAACAACACAATACTCTTTGGAGGAGCAAAAGAACAGAACAGAATCTAGAGTTTCTTTTTCGGGGGAGATGGGGGTCTCACTATTTTGCCGAGGCTGGTCTCAAACTCCTGAGCTGAAGCAACCCTCCTGTCTCAGCCTCCTGAGTAGCTAGGACTACAGGCATACCACCATGTCAGACTTGAATCTAGAGTTTCTACAACTTATTCATGATGTCCAGAATATATCCAAAATTACTCCACATGTAAAGAAGCAAAACATGACCCATTTCTTAAGAAAAAATCAGAATCATTTAAATAAAGAAATACTTAGGTATAAACTTAACAAAACATACATAGGATTTATAAACTGAAAATTACAAAATGCTCATGAAAAATTAAAGACCACCTAAATTACTAAAGATATTCCATGTTCATGGAATAGAAGACTCAATGTGGTAAAGATGCTGATTCAAAATGATCTGTAAGTTTAATGAGATTCCTATCCAAATTCTAATAAGGTTCTTTTTATAGATATTAGCTTATTAAAAAACTTATATAAAAAGACACAGGCAAAAAAAAAAGCTACTAAAATAGCGAGAACAATATGGAAAGGAATAAAGTGGAAGGAACACCTGCTGATACTGGAGTTTACTTTATATAGGTATAGTCATCAAGACAGGGAAATACTATAGAGGGAAAGAGACACATGGATCAATGGAACTGAAAAAAGAACCCAGAAACCCACACAAATAAATATGCCTAAGTGAACTTTCCTTTTTCTCTTGCTCGTTGCCCAGGCTGCAACCTCTGCCTCCTAGGTTCAAGCAGTTCTCCTGCCTCAGCCTCCTGAGTAGCTGGGACTACAGGTATATGCCGCCACAGCTGGCTAATTTTGTATGTTTTGAGATGGAATCTCACTCTGTTGCCCAGGCTGGAGTGTAGTGGTGCGATCTTGGTTCACTGCAGCCTCCACCTCCCAAGTAGCTGGGATTACAGGCGTGCACCACCACACCCAGCTAATTTTTGTATTTTTAGTAGAGACGGGGTTTCATCATATTGGCCAGGCTGGTCTCAAACTCCTGACCTCAGGTGATCTGCCTGCCTCGGCCTCCCAAAGTGCTGGGATTACAGGCATGAGCCACCGTACCCAGCCTCAGAAAATAATATGTAATCTACATATAAACACTCCTCCCTCCAAAAAGTAAATATCTTTGATTTAGAAGTCCAATGGATATAATTCTAAAAATATTAAACTAACACACACACAAAAAAAAAAAAGAAAAAGGAAGAACAGGAAAGAAAAGGAAGAACAAGGGCAAAGAGCAAACAGAAAACAAACAGCCAAAAAACCCATCCCTAAATCCAATCATATCAATAATTACATGATGGACTAAACACTCCAAAGAATAAAAGAGCCAGGCCCAACTACATCCTGTCTATAACAAAGCCATTTTAAATATAAGACACAGACAAGTTTAAAATTAAAAACCATGAAAAGAGTTACCATGGCACAGAGCAAACAGATAAAGGCTCTACTAACCTCAGACAATGTACATTCAAGACAAAATAGGCCCAGAGACACATGTTATAACACAGAATATGTGCAAATCACAAAAATTATATATGAGTAAACAACTTGCAACGAAGTTTAAAATAAATGGGGTAAAAGCTGACAGAATTAAAGAGAAAAAATAGACAATTCCACAACCACCTGGAGATTTTAGTATCAGTAATTGATATAACTAAACAAACAAAAAAACACATAGACGATCTGATCAACATTATCAACCACATTGACCTATTTGATATTTTCAGAACCACACACCCAACAACTGCAGAATACAGAATCTTTCACATACATGATATGTTCATTAAGATAGATGAAGGGGTGATAAAACAAGTCTTGATAACTTTAAAAGAATTAAAATCATAGAGTACATTCTGTGATTACAATGGAATTAAATGAGCAATCACAAATAAAAAAGATGGAAAAAAAATCCTCTTATATTTGGGAATTAAACAACAGATTCCTAAATAAGCCAGTTATAAACGAAAACAAGTTACCAACATCAGGAATAAACTTATTGATTTATTGAGACAGAGTCTTGCTCTGTTACCCAGGCCGGAGTGCAGTGGCCCGATCTCAGCTCACTGCAACCTCTGCCTCCCAGGCTCAAGTGATTCTCCTGCCTCAGCCTCCCTCGTAGCTGGGATTACAGGCACACACCACCACGGCCAGCTAACTTTTTGTATTTTTAGTAGAGATGGGGTTGCACTATGTTGGCCAGGCTGGTCTCGAATTCCTGACCTCAAGTGATCCACCCGCCTCAGCCTCCCAAAGTGCTGAGATTACAGGCCTGAGCCACCAAGTATGGCCAGGAATAAACTTTTTACAATTAAAGGGTAATAAGATTATTATGAAGAACTTTATGCCAACAAGTTCGACAAGATTAAATAGATATATTATTTGAGAATACCAGTTATTAAAAACTGACATATGATGAAACAGAAAATAGGAAAAGCTCTGTATCTAGTAAAGAAAGTTTGTTACAAAAACCATATATAAAGAAAACTCCAGGCTGGGCAATCATGCCTATAATCCTAGGACTTTGGAAGGCTGAGGGGATCGCTTGAGCACAGTATGGTGAAATCCCATCTCTACCAGAAATACAAAAATTAGCCGGGAGTGGTGGTGTACATTTGTAGTCCGAGCTACCTGGGAGGCTGAAGTGGGAGGATTGTTTGAGTCCAGGAGGCAGAGGCTGCAGTGAGCTTACATCATGCCATTGTACTCCAGTGTGGACGACAGAGCCACACCATTTCTCAAAAAAAAAAAAGAAAGAAAGAAAACTCCAGATCTTCAAACATTCAAGGAAAAAACAGGCATTTTACACAAACTCTTCTAGAAAACCAAGAGTACTTCCCAAATTGTTTATGATGCCAGCAAAACCCTAATACCAAAATATGACAAAAACATTACAAAACATGAGAATTACATACCAATATCCCACCCTGAAAACAGATTTTAAAAATTCTTAAATCTGGTAACATATACAAAGATTAATATGGCATGATCAGGTGGGACTGATACTTATGTGAAACTTAACATTTGCAAATGTGTGTAATTTGCCATAGTAACAGAATGAAAGAGAAAAACCATATAACAACAACTCCAACAGAAGTAGAAAAAAAAACATTTAACAAAAGCCCAACTGATGATGAAAAAGAAATCTTAGTAAACTAGAAATAAAAGGGCTCTTCCTCAATCTGGAAAATAAATCTATGAAGAACTTATAGCTGGTGAAATACTGAAAATTTTCCACTTAAGACAGGAAAAAAAGACAAGAAGGCCCAATCTCACCATTTATATTCAGCAGCATATTTGAGGTCCTAGCCACAGAAGACAACAAGAAATAGCCACAGAAGACAACAAGGCTTAAGAAAGGAAAACTACAAATCTCTTTGTAGATAAAATGATTGCTATGTAGGAAGGCCTAAGGTACTAACTGTATGAAGTAAATTTTATTAAAATCAAAAACTGACAGGCCAGGCATGGTGGCTTAGGTCTGTAATCTCAGTACTTTGGGAAGCCAAGGCAGGTGGATTGCTTGAGACCAGCCTGGGCAACCTGGTGAAATTCTGTCTCTACCAAAAAAAAAAAAAAAAAAAAGTTGGGCATGGTGGCACATGCCTATAGTACCAGCTACTTGGGAGGATGAGGTAGGAGGATCTCTTGGGCCTGGGAGGCAGAGATTGCAGTAAGCCAAGATCGCGCCACTGCACTCCATCCTGGGCAACAGCATGAGACCTTGCCTCAAAAAAAATAAATAATATAACAAAAGACACGCAAGTTCCCTTACTGAAAATCACAAGATGTTGCTGAGAGAAATTAAAGAAGACCTAAAGAGAGACATTCTGTGTTTATGAAATAGAATGCGTAATACTGTAAAGATGCTAACTGTCCCCAAGTTGATCTACAGAGTTGGTGCAATCCTAATCTTAACCACTCTAGGCCTTTTTTTGGTAGAAACTAACAAGCTCATTCTGAAGTCCATATGGAAATGCAAAGGACATGGAAGACCCAAGTAACCTTGAAAAAGACAACTAAAATTGTCGTCTTACCACTAGCTTCAAAAGTTGCTGTACAGCTATAGTGATCAAGACGCAGCAGGAAAGGCATCAACAAGTAGATAAGAAAAGAGAATAGAATTCAGAAACAGACGCACAAAAATTTGATCATCTGATTTATCAAGGTGCCAAAGCTTTCGTGGGAAAGTAAAATCTGTTCATCAAATGGTGCTGGAACACCTAGATATCTATATAGAAAAAAACCAACCTTAGTTCCTACCTCACCGCATAAAGAAAAAGAAATCTGTAATACATCCTAGAGCTAAACACTAAACATAAAAGCTTAAAACAACAACTTTTCAGAAAAAAATATTAGAGAACACACCCTACCCCGCAGCCAAAAAAAAAAAAAAAAAAGCCTGAAAGAAAAAGTGCTCAATGTTATTAGTCATCAGGGAAATACAAATTACAAGCTACAATGTGCTCTCCCACTATAAACCTACCATACGGCTAAAAATCCAACGACTGTCAACACAATGTTGGCAAAAATATAGAAAAACCAAACGCTTTTACAAATTGAGTATCCCTTATCTGAAGTGCTTAGAATCAGAAGTATTTCAGATTATGGAATATTTATATTTACTGGCTGAGCATCTCAAATCCAGAAATCAGAAATCTGAAATGCTCCAATAAGCACTTTTATTGAGCATCACATCAGTGCTCAAAAAGTTTAGGATTTTGTAATATTTCTAACTTTTGGATTGGGATGCTGAATCTGTACATTATTGGTGGGATGGGTTAAAATGGTAAAAATACTTTTGGCAAAAGGCCTGGCAGCTTCTTTAAAAATGAAATATTTACTTATTCTATTACATAGCAACTCTATCCTATTTACCCAGGAGAAATGAAAAATGTCCATTAAAAAAGCATGTATATTTTTAGTAGCTTTACTAGTAACAGCCAAGATGACAAACAGCCCAGGGGTCCATCAACAGGAAAATGAATAAACTATGGTATATTCAGACAAAGAAATACTACTTAGCAATAAAAAGGAATGAACTACTAGTATACACTTTAACGTGAAAGAATCTCAAAAACATCATGTTGAGTGAAAACCTTTGAAAAAATAGTGCATGCTAATCAGTATGCCCTCTGTTTTATAACAGCTTCACATTTATGTTTTAGGCATTCTATTAAATCCTCAGCAGTCTCCCAACATAAGCAGCAAAATCACAAAGCAGGTTGACCTTTGACCTCTCCTTGTTTCTACACCATTCCATTTGAAATTCTTCATAGGAAGACATTTATGATTATGTGTCATGCCCTGCTGATTCCTGATAGCCTTTTGGGCATTCTGGTTTCAAGAAGATTTTCTTAGCCCATTCAAATTGCACAACACAGGCCAATTCTGAATATGAGAGTAGTAAGCCCACCATATAGTAAATGCTTAAATTTACCAGTGTCTAAGATAGGTATTTACTATATATGAAAGCAAACAGTCAAGAAAACTAAAGGACCTTTGGATAAATGTTTCTCCTTGGACTCCTGGAATCAATTTCTGTTTTCTTTATATTCCAACATTTTAAAGGGTATTTTTAAAGCCTTTAGAGGTACCTAGATTTTTATACTCTTCTCATATTTAACTTCCAAGCTAAATGTTTACATAATGTGTTCATTATTATAAAAAATAGAATAAAACTGAAAGGGGTTGAACAGAGAATAACAGGAGACTAACATTCTACTAATCAGGAGCTGAAGGTTTTGTAGTGCAGTTACTTGTTTATGGATATAAGCATATTTCTGGTAATGAGGTGGTCAAGGACAGAATCTCACAAACCTGCATAAGATAATCAGCAATGTATTCTGTTCTCAAGCAGTACACATTCTGGGCAGCAGCTTCTGTTATATTAACTCCCGAGTCATCTGGTTTCAGTTTATTCAAGTCAGAAAAAAGATGTGTGGCCTCTTTAAATAAAGACACAGAATGACCAGGTAGCACCTAAAGAAAAAACAAGCAGTATCACAGTCTATCAGTATTCCAAGGTAGTTCAGCTGTATAGTTCAGCTGTATCATGTGTACTTAAGGATTATCATTTCAAAAAGTAGAGAAAATGAAGAACTGTTCATAGCAATCTTGGTTAATTATTTATGTAAAAAGGTCAGCAAGTTAATTCAATACAAACCTTTGCTCCTCCTGACTGAAGAAGGCGTTTGAAGCCAGCTTCTCGAGACTGATCCACATGTAAAATAACCTTCCACCCACTAAATGCTCCCTACAATTAAAAAATAATCTGTGGTGAAATCATTTGGAAAATAACTAACAAAATAATACTGATAATGCACAATTTTATCTGTAGATTTAGTTTTATGTCAATAAATCTTATAAACTTTACTTTTGACACAGTATAATTATCTCTGGTTAGAATACTGAAACGTGAATCCATGGTATCTGGCACATAGTAGGCCATCAAATACCTGAGGAATGAAAAACCATTTAATGAGTAGGTAATATTAAAACAAAGCACATGTGCAGAAAGCAGAAACTGGACCCCTTCCTGACACCTTACACTAAAATTAACTCCAGATGGATTAAAGACTTAAACATAAGACCTGGCACCATAAAAACCCTAGAAGAAAATCTAGGCAAAACCATTCAGGACATAGGAGTAGGCAAGGAATTCATGACCAAAACACCAAAAGCACTGGCAACAAAAGCCAAAATAGACAAATGGGACCTAATCAAACTCCACAGCTTCTGCACAGCAAAAGAAACAGTTACTAGAGTGAATCGGCAACCAACAGAATGGGAAAAAATTTTTGCAGTTTACCCATCTGACAAAGGGCTGATATCCAGAATTTACAAAGAACTCAAACAGATTTACAGGAAAAAAACAAACAAGCCCATTCAAAATTGGGCAAAGGATATGAACAGACACTTTACAAAAGAAGACATACATGACGCCAACAAACATATGAAAAAATGCTCATCATCACTGGTCATAAGAGAGACGCAAATCAAAACCACATTGAGATACCATCTCATGCCAGTTAGAATGGTGATCATTAAAAAATCTGGGGACAACAGATGCTGGAGAGGATGTGGAGAAATAGGAACGCTTTTACACTGTTGGTGGGAGTGTAAATTAGTTCAACCATTGTGGAAGACAGTGTGGTGATTCCTCAAGGCCTTAGAAATAGAAATTCCATTTGATATAGCAATCCCATTACTGGGTATATATCCAAAGGACTATAAATTGTTCTACTATAAGGACACATGCACACGAATGTTCATTGCAGCAGTTTACAATAGCAAAGACCTGGAACCAACCCATATGCCCATCGATGATAGACTGGACTGGGAAAATGTGGCACATATACACCATGGAATATTATGCAGCAATCAGAAATGATGAGTTCGTGTCCTTTGTAGGGACGTGGATGAATCTGGAGAACATCATTCTCAGCAAACTGACACAAGAACAGAAAATGAAATACCGCATATTCTCACTCATAGGCGAGTGATGAAAAATGAGAACACATGGACACAGGGAGGGGAGTACTACACACTGGGGTTTATTGGGGGGAATAGGGGAGGGACAGCAGAAAGGGGGAGCTGGGGAGGGATAGCCTGGGGAGAAATGCCAAATGTGGGTGAAGGGGAGGAAGGCAGCAGAACACACTGCCATGTGTGTACCTATACAACTATCTTGCATGTTCTACACATGTACCCCAAAACCTAAAATGCAATAAAATAAAATAAAACCTAAAAAAAAAAAGCAGCATGATTTACGTTTAACCTTTACTGGTATCTTTTTTTCTTATGATTAATCAAGGGAAGACCTTAAAGCACAGCTTTTTAGGTTAGATGAAGCCTGCATTTTACTTCTCTTAAAAATGTTTGCAAATTGAAAACATAAAATATTTAGGTAGGGAATAACAACTAACAAAAGCCAGTGGAATTAATCTAAAAGGGAGGGACTCATGGCTAATAGGGATTTGGCGATATCAGAGACTTGGAATACGACATGAAAGATTATTTATCTCAGGGGTTCTGATAATCGTTTGGCTGTGTCCCCACTCAAAATCTCACCTTGAATTGTAATCAGAATTATAATCCCATGTGTTGGGAGAGGGACCTTGTAGGAGGTGTTCAGATTGTTGGGGCGATCCCCCCATGCTGTTCTCATGATAGTGAGTTCTCATGAGATCTGATGGTTTTATAAGGAGTTTTTCCCCACTTTGCTCTGCACTTTCTCTCCTGCCACCATGTGAAGGACGTGTTTGTTGCTTCCCCTTCCACGATGACTTTTAAGTTTCCTGAGGTCTCCCTAGTCACGTGGAACTGTGAGTCAATTAAACCTGTTTTCTTTATAAACTATCCAGTCTCCAGTGTTTCTTTTTTTGAGACGGAGTTTTGCTCTTGTTACCCAGGCTGGAGTGCAATGGCTCGATCTCGGCTCACCGCAACCTCCGCCCCCTGGGTTCCGGCAATTCTCCTGCCTCAGCCTCCCGAGTAGCTGGGACTACAGGCGCGCACCACCATGCCCAGCTAATTTTTTGTATTTTTAGTTGAGACGGGGTTTCACCATGTTGATCGGGATGGTCTCGATCTTTTGACCTCGTGATCCACCCGCCTCGGCCTCCCAAAGTGCTGGGATTACAGGCGTGAGCCACCGTGCCCAGCCACCCAGCTAATTTTTTGTATTTTTAGTAGAGACAGGGTTTCACTATGTTGACCAGGATGGTCTCGATCTCTCAATCTCGTGATCCACCCGTCTCGGCCTCCCATCCAGTGTTTCTTTATAGCAGCATGAGAATTAACTAATACAATTAATGGATCCATGTGAGCCATGTTTGGCTGGTCATCAGACTCCTCTCAGTAATAGCTATATTGAGACATAATTCCCAAACCATATGGGTGATTTTGAGAAAAATGTTAAAAATAAAATATAAAGGATTATAAAAGGAAGCCATTTTATTAAAAGTTATCAAAATATTAAAAACAAATTTGTGATTTAATTATAGATATGCTTTATATTAGTACATTAAATCATATGACCTAGTGGTGGGTCTAATAACGACTGTAGTTTCAAAGTAGCAGACAATAACTAATATGGCTTCCAGTGCTTTGATGAAACCTTAGGTATGTGGCCTTCTGGCCTACTGTCTGTGGCTTCATATTGTGGGAGCATTCGCTGTATCCTTGGGATTGCAGCTCTGTTTGCTGTGGTTGGACCAAAACAGAAAGGATATACAGATTTCTACAAAAGTTATGATTCCACAAAAGATTCTGAGATGAAGAGAGATATTATGTTTCAGAGTACAAAGTGTTTTGGAACATAAAGAATTTCTTTGGACTGAATTATTATTTTTCTTTTTTGAGACGGAATCTTGCTCTGTCACCAGGTTGTAGTGCAGTGGCCCAATCTGGGCTCACTGCAACCTTTGACTCCCGAATTTAAGCAATTCTCCTGCCTCAACCTCCTGAGTAGCTGGGACTACAGGCACATGCCACCACGTCCGGCTAATTTTTGTATTTTTAGTAGAGAGAGATTTGACGATGTTGGCCAGGATGGTCTCAACCTCTTGACCTTGTAATCCGCCTGCCTCGGCCTCCCAAAGTGCTGGGATTACAGGCGTGAGCCATGGTGCCTGGCCTGGACTGAATTAATACATAGAAGTTTGCAATTGACTTGTGTTCCTGAATTATAAAACATGAACATGTGGCCTAAGTAACAGTTTCTCTTGATAAATAAACAGTTAACAAATAATATAAATAAAGTAGTGATGAACACAAACGGTATTTCAAGATGCTTACAATTATAATGCAAAACAAAAACATCTGATTTCTGTTAGTGCAGTTATCAGTATAGTTGATACTATTGTGATTTGTTGCTTCAAACTTTAATTAAAGGAAGTGCTAATTTACTCAAAGCATGATGTAGGCTGATTAAAATAAAATTTAAAAAAAGGAAAGTGCTAATTTTTTTCTTTTTTCTTTTTTTGAGATGGAGTTTCGCTCTTATTGCCCAGGCTGGAGTGCAATGGCACAATCTTAGCTCACCGCAACCTCTGCCTCCCAGGTTCAACTGATTCTCTTGCCTCAGCCTCCTGAGTAGCTGGGATTGCAAGTATGTGCCACCATACCAGGCTAATTTTGTATTTTTAGTAGAGATGGGGTTTCACCATGTAGGCCAGGCTGGTCTTGACCTCCAGAACTCAGGCCTTGGCCTCTCAAAGTGCTGGGATTACAGGCGTGACCCACTGCGCCTGGCTTGGGAAGTGCTAATTTTCAAATAGAGGTTAGTAAAAATAAGAAGGTATTTTTCCCCCCATGTAAAGTACATGGCCGTCCCAGAGCTGATCTATAAACTCCTTTGAGAGAGTCTGTGAACTCAGGTCAAGAACACCTGACGTAGATGCTGAAAAGATTCTTTGAAAGAAATGCAATATGGGCCATATTTTACATATATACATTATTTTTTAAAAAGACATCAAAATTATATATACATATACATATATATGTATCTTAAACACAATTAAAAGAACCAGGAACTGAAAGTAAGCTCAATTCAGAATGCCCAAACTAAGCGTATCAAAGGATAAAAGACAAGTAGAATCATCATTTCCTCAAGCACATTCTCTTGCTATTTGTATTACCTATATAATTATGTATGTTAATACCTCAACAATGCCAGATTCTTGTCTTTGCTGGATTTTTTTTCTCCATCTCATTGCTGCAAGTGCTAGTTTTCGTTGCTGTACATTGATTCCAGTCAAAACATCAAGTATGGAACTGCTTCCCCATTCATAGTCTTCTTCCTAGAGAATTTGTCCAACAAACTTGAGTTGCTACAGTTTGGGGAGCCACAGTGCAACATTTAGTTGCACTCCTCAAGGAGCTCAAAGTCTAATAACATCTAAAGCTCTACATTGGATTGTTGTAAATACAGAGAATACTAAGTAAATATTGTTTTGTGAGCACAGAAGAAATGTAGATTAATTTAGTTTCAAATAAGAGTCAAGTATATTTGGATTTTAATTAGAAATCAGAAAAATATCACATACATTTTTAAGAAACAAAATGATAGCTATATCTTGGCAACTGGTAATATTCAGATGAGCAAATTTCACCTGCTGTAAGACTAACTTCATAGAATGACAGAGTCTCAGAGGAGGTATGTACTGACAACTTAATTATCGGTCTATAGAAGAGATCCCTAAGAGACCCTGATAGGAAGCTTCAAAAACTACATGGCGGGATATTACTGTGATGACCAGTTAGGAACCAAAATACTTCAAGTTATTAGTTTAATAGGCTAGTAGTAAAGATCAAAGCTTACAATGAGATAATCTTGAAACTTTCTGAGTAAGAAAATGTTATTTCAATTAAAAACAACACTGACATTCACATTAAATGATTTAAAAAGTGATTAAAGGTGAATCTGGCTCTGTGATCTCTAGTTTTGTTGTTGTTTGGCTTTGTTATTAAAAAAGTTGGTATACTCCAACTGGCCGTATTTGGTTATTTCAATTATATGAGCAGTCAGCATATGTGATGGAATCTGAGATTTACTTTTTAAAGTAAATACATTTCTTTGTTTATTTAGAGACAGGATCTTGATTTGACCTCCTGGGTTCAAGCAATCCTCCCACTTCAGCCTCCTAGGTAGCTGGAACTACAGGTGGGAACCACCATGCCAGCTAATTACTTTTATTTTTTGTAGAAATGGGGTCTCATTATATTGCCCAGGCTGGAGTGCAATGGTGTGATCTTGGCTCACTGCAACCTCTGCCTCCCAAGTTCAAGTGATTCTCCTGCCTCATCCTCCTGAGTAGCTGAGATTACAGGTGCTCACCACCACCCCTGGCTAACTTTTGTATTTTTAGTAGAGACAGGGTTTCACCATGTTGGCCAGGCAGGTCTCAAATTTCTGACCTCAGGTGATCCACCCACCTTGGGCTCCCAAAGTGCTAAGATTACAGGTGTTGGCCATCATGCCTGGCAGACACTTACTCTTAAAGAAAAATAAACTTCCGCAAATCTGAATACACACCGGCACGAAGTGTCCAGCAGTCCTGCATGCTTCAAGGTAGGAGCGATGAAGCACCCACTTCCCAGCTGCCACAGAGCCTAAATACTTCTCATTTCGAAGTGGATGTCCCACAACAATGTGTGTACAGCTGGGATCAAAGCACTGCTTTTCTATCACCAATCCACCTTAAGTAGAGAAAAACTGGTTGTACTTTATTGATTCTCAACTTCTTTCTAGGAAAAATGTAATCTCAGCTATGCATAGACATTGTCTATAAATAAAATGCCCCAACCCATATAAACCAAAAAACCTTGACTTAGAATTATTTTTCTTTATATACATATGTATTAATGTTTATTATGAACATTTTAAATACAAAAGTAAATAAAACAGTAAAATGAACCCCCACACAAACACTGGCTAACTATATTCTAAAATTATCAAAATTTTGCAACCATTTTTTTTTTTGCTTTACTACTGTATTCTGTTTTTATTTTTTTGAGACAGGGTCTCAGATTGAAGTACACTGGCACAATCTTGGCTTACCACAACCTCTAACTCAAGTGATTCTCCTGCCTCAGCCTCCTGAGTAGCTGGGATTATAGGCACATACCAGTACAGCCTGGCTAATTTTTCTATTTTTAGTAGAGATGGGGTTTCACCATGTTGGCCAGGGTGGTCTTGAACTCCTGAGCTCAAATGATCCACTTGCCCTGGCCTCCCAAGTGCTGGGATTACAGGTATAAGCCACCACGCCCGGCCCTGCTTAACTATTTTAAAGCAAATTCTAGGTACATGTTACTAGCCCCTAAATATTTCAGTATACATCTCTAAAATATATGGAAATTTTCTTTAACAACTATACTGCCATGATCAGATCTAATATAATTAACAAAAATTCTTTGCTTTCTCAATACGAAATCTTTGTTCAATTTTTCCTGTTTGCACTCGGATTGTTATAATTAGGATACAAAAAGAAATAGAACATAAACATGAGTCACACACTGTAGTTAGTTATGTTTCTTAAGTCTCAACTACCAAAGCAGTTTTCAAGCACTGAATATGGGTAACCAGGGAGACGGAAGTTAAAATAGGGGCATTCATAGACTTTAAAACAGGAGGAAATTTTTTGTGAGTGGAAACAAGGTCAGCAGACCAACACAGAAGCTTGGGAAGAACACACACACAGATAAATAAGAGATGAAGCAGCAGGTGGGAAAAAGCAGTAACTGAACCTCTTCTCAAATATAAATGTATGAAGCCTGTCTTTGAGGAAAAAAGGCTTAAGTAAATGTAAGCTTATGTAAAGCATGGCTGTTACATTTTAGAGGTTAACTTGACTACTGGTTGGGCAGAATTAGTTATATCAAGGACTTTCTAAAATTTTAACAAAACATTCAAACTCATAATTTAAGATGCCTCTAATAATAATAGCAGCAACACTTTTTGAACATTTACTGTAAACCAGAAACTATTAAAAGTGCTCCAGATTACCAACTCAATTAATTCTCATAACCATATGAAAGGTTACTATTATTTGCATACCCAGGATCACATATTGACAGAAGAACAAGAAGGTAAAATTCCTTATTAATATAATAAATATCAATTTCCAATTCTATATAATAAACTTATTCTGTGACCCAGACAACATAATAGACTGATTTATATATTTATCAATTGGTTACAGTTGCTTCATTTAAAAAAATGAGGGGCTGGGCATGATATCTATTATAACGTCTCTTTGCATTCTAATATTAGAAAACCTCTAGAGTTGCAAACTCCCAATTCCAGAATAATCCATACTCATCTGCCTCTGCTCCCTGCCCTCTTCTAGATCAGTTCTCTGCTAACTGCTATCACTCTTGCCCAAAGTTTGCAGAGATGGAAAAATCTATAGGAGACAGACACTTGAAGCCTTTCATTTTTATGAGTTCTGGGTCAAACTTAGCAATTCTGACTTCTAGTCTCATCTAAGTTATCAGGCAACTGGGAAACAATGTGTTTTATATGAGTACAAAGTTTCTAAGAAGAAAGAGTTTTTCCAAAAAAATTTGACATAAATTTTTTCTTTTCTTTAAAAAAGCATATCACAGTTCTCCACATTCTTAAAAAGACAGCACTAAATAAAATTTAATCTTTTCCTAATGATTCAGGGCCACTATTAAAAACCATTATTTCAGCCAGGTGTGGTGGCTTACACCTGTAATCCCAGCATTTTGGGAGACTGAGGCAGGCCTGATAAGTGAAGACACGATAAATGAAAGTTCATTTCACATGTTACTTTTTACTTTTTATTTTTGAGATGGCGCCTCAGTATGTTGCCTATGCTTGTTTTGAACTCCTGGGCTCAAGCGATCCTCCCACCTCAGGCAAAGTCTGGGATTACAGGCAGGTGCCACTGCACCCAGCCTCTTTTTAGTTTTTAAAATGCAGCTACTAGAAAATTTAAAATGACATATGTGGCTCACATTGTATTTCTATCGGACAGTGCTGCTACAGCATACCAGACTGCTCTTTTACTATGCTGCTTCTAGAATGATGTTAGGTAGAAAACCTGACAACCAGTGGAATAAGAATAAATAAAAATAGGAAAAAAAAATTTTTTTTTAAAAGAATAATTTTATACAAGGAGGAGCTCTTTTCCATTGAATGTCTTTCTTTTCTTTTTTTGAGATGGTGTATTGCTCTGTTGCCCAGGCTGGAGTGCAGTGGCATGATCTTGGCTCACTGCAACCTCTGCCTCCCAGATTCAAGTGATTCTCCTGCCTCGGCCTCCCAAATAGCTGGGATTACAGGTGTGTGCCACCACACCCAGCTAATTTTTTGTATTTTTAGTAGAGATGTGTTTTACTATGTTGGCCAGCCTAGTCTTGAACTCCTGACCTCAAGTGATCCTGCCTTAGCCTCCCAAAGTGCTGAGATTACAGGCGTGAACCACCATGCCCGGCCTCCACACTGGATTTCTAATTGGAAAACAACAACAACAAAAACAAAAAACAAACAAACAAAAAAACAAGAAAAAGCTCCTGTCTAGATACTATTAGCCTTTCCAGTTCATTAAAATGTGGTTTTATTTATATAGTTAAGTTTTTAAAGCTTCATTAGTGAACGAATAGTCAAACAGCACAGAAGATGCTTAAACTTCAACTGTTAGATTCCATTTAAATTTTAAATCCCATGACCTACTGACTTTAGAGCTTTTTCAAATCAAAGTTCCAATGCTGACTCAATGTACAGCCTTAGACAAGTTACCCATGGTCTTTTCCTTTACTTCTAGACTTTACAAATAATATTGACAGCATTTGACTTCCAAATATGGTTATTATATGGGACATTTTTGATTTAAGTAAAATACTGTTACCTAGTTTTTCAATCAGATGACAATAGTCAATACGTTCTTGAGGATTCAGAGATGATAACTGAAATATGTACTGTTTTTTCAATTCTTCATGAGTCTCCTCTATTGTTATAATCTGGAATGAAAGTTTTATTTTAGAAAAAATCAACATTAAAAGTGATCAGATACACAGTTCTTTTATAGTGGCATTTTACTATCTTCTAAGTTATCAAATATACAAATAATAATACAATGCAAAAAATATACTTTTCAACATTTGATGAAGCCTTGATATCAATATCAATAAATTTCTAATACAGCATAAGAGCAATAGCCAAAAGCTGTATCACCAAAAGGATCAACAAACCTTTTCTCTAGGGTGTGGAGCCACAGGGGGGTTGGCGAGTGGAAAGGCAATACTGGGAGCTTGAGGCGTAGGAATCAGGTGGCTGTCTTTTATGGGAGTTTCCAGTTCTTCATCGATCAGGTGTTTGGGGGCTTCTGTCACACGTACGTTTCCAGGATCACAGACAGCTGAGGACAATAAAATGCTGCAGTGTGACAGTATCCAAATATGACTAAAAACAAATTCTAGGAAATATTCTCATCTGTCTTAGCAAAGATGAAGTTAAGCACAAACTCTGGAATGTAAAAAGTATGTAGAAAAAAAGTATCCTATCTCCAGAACTTATAAATAAATGCATCCCATCTGCCTGTGGCAGTATAATAGTAAGGAAAAAAAATAATGCAATTAAACACTGAAGGGAGCAAATGTGTTATCTGGGGGCTTCTCCCAACACTTTCCTTAAATAGCAAGTTTTCATTAAGTGTAACCCAAATTTGTAAAATGAGCACAATTCTACACTTGCAGAAAAGCAGAAGCAGAGGTAAATCTATATATCTAATGTAGGGAGGTATTCATGCGATGTGAAAAAGAAGAAAAAAGATGAGAGATAGGAAACATTTTGTTTTCAAGGTAAAGCTCAAGGAAGAAAAAAAAAATAGCAGAATTCAGAAAGAAACTCATACAATCCAAAGAACAAATATAGGTAAATACGCTAGGCAGAATTCAGAAGACTTAAATGAAAACAAGATAGGCAGGAAAACCAAGCATACATTCCACAGATACAAAAAGGCCTAGAAGAACAATGGCAAACATCATGTCTAGAAAAAAATGCCCAATTCTAAATTTCAAAATTTAAGAATGAAAATTTTTTTTTTCTTTTTTGAGATGGAGTCTTGCTCTGCCACCAGACTACAGTGCAGTGGTGCGATCTTGGCTCACTGCAACCCCCTACTCCGTGGTTCAAGGAATTCTCCTGCCTCAGCCTCCAGAGTAGCTGGGGTTACAGGCATGCACCACTACACCCAGCTAATTTTTGTATTTTTAGGAGAGATGGGGTTTCACTATGTTGGCCAGGATGGTCTCCAACTCCTGACCTCATGATCTGCCCGCTTCAGCCTCCCAAAGTGCTGGGATTACAGGCATGAGCCACCGCACTTGGCCAAAAACGTTTTTGAATTTACTGATGAAGTACCTCAATGTATAAGTTATTTTTCTGACTGAAGTTTAAACCAAAACCAGAAATATCTACTAAGTTTTTTGTTTGTATATTCAGTTCAGAGAACTACAACATGCTCATCTGTTTGTTTTTAAGAGGTCAACATGTACTTAATACAAATACAAAGATTTCTTTCTTGTTACCCTGTTTAGCAATTTCTGAATCATGTAAAGGCTTTTGAAAAGGAGAATCCTCCAAGTTTTGAATGTCAACCTGAAGCTCAGAGTATTGTGTGGGACAACTAGGCCACTGCAAATTGCTGGCGAGCCTTGCTCTCTCCTCCCTTGCTGTAGGGTCATCCCAAATGATCTGTTCATTTTGGGAGGGCTCTGTGTTGACATCAGGTACTGTTTGACGAGACTGCCTGAGGAATAAAAGTGACAGTTTTAAATAAACAGCAATAACAAATCCAAACTCATTAAATCCATAAGTTAGACTATAAAAGTTGTGGCTCACCTTTATATGCCCATCATCTAGTATAAAGTAAGCATTTAAAATATTAAATAAATGAACCTAGGGACTTTTAAAAAAAGTATTTAAGGTTTCTTCCAGAAAGTTATCTGTTTTAGCTAGAAACACATATTTTTTTTATTTTTATTTTATTTTTTGAGACAGAGTTTCGCTCTCGTTACCCAGGCTGGAGTGCAATGGTGTGATCTTGGCTCACCGCAACCTCCGCCTCCTGGGTTCAGGCAATTCTCCTGCCTCAGCCTCCCAAGTAGCTGGGACTACAGGCACGCGCAACCATGCCCAGCTAATTTTTTGTATTTTTAGTAGAGATGGGGTTTCACCATGTTGACCAGGATGGTCTCGATCTCTTGACCTCATGATCCACCCGCCTTGGCCTCCCAAAGTGCTGGGATTACAGGCGTGAGCCACCGCGCCCGGCCTAGAAACACATATTTTAACTAAATGTCTATAGAATTAAAACTTGAAAGGATAAATTCAACATTCTCAAGAAATTCTTTAAAAATACTAAAATAAGCTGGGCTTGGCAGCTCACGCCTTTAATTCCAGCACTTTGGGAGGCTGAAGCAGGTGGATCACCTGAGGTCGGGACTTCAAGACCAGCCTGACCAACGGAGAAACTCCGTCTCTACTAAAAACACACAAAAAATATCTGGGTGTGGTGGTGTATGCCTGTAATCCCAGCTACTCAGGAGGCTGAGGCAGAAGAATCACTTCAACCTGGGAGGCAGAGGCTGCGGTGAGCCGAGATCATGCCATTGCACTCCAGCCTGGGCAAAAAGAGAGAAACTCTCCGTCTCAAAAAAAAAAAGAACACCTAAAATAATTGCTACATTTTAAAATGGGATTTTCTTTAATTATACAGGTTAGGGAAACACGGTAATGTTTCCAATGCTATGGTTACTTTACTTAACAGTAGTTGTATTTTTTAATTACTGGAAATTATAAGCACTGTGATTATGTGGGAGGCTTACTGTAAAGGCTGCCTTCTCAGTAGGGCCTTTTGGCCATTGGTAACCACTTTCCAGAGTCTATGACAGACAGCCAGGGAAGTGCATTTAATGGTGCAATTGTAATGATTCCACTTGACAGTAAACAGAAGTCCTATGATTTTTTTAATATTCATTCATTCATTCTTAGTATAAATAATTTACCATAAATAAAATTTACACTGTGAAGAAGGAAAAAAACCCCACAAAACAATTTATCAAAGCTGACAATATCCTCAAAGAGTGACTTTGCCTCAAAAATAAAGAGTATAGGTTTTATGTTCAGAGTATATTTATTTACTCTTACAGAATGTAGGTTCTCTATAATGGTAAAACATGATCTGAAGCATATTACACAAAAAGCTACTTTACTCATTACTGAGATAAAGAACTGCCTCATGTAATACATAGTTAGCATAAGATAAATGCATAGTTCAATTAGTCCATTGAAAATACAAGTCCCATAATACTTATCACACAATTATAGAGTTTTTTCTTCTATCAGGAAAAAGATGAAGTAACGCAACTCAACATAAGTCACATCACACTAAAAACTGAAATTGCCTTTTCCAGAAGATAAATTTTACCAGAAGAATACAAAATGCACATAAAATTCCAATAAAAAAAAACTTTAAAATTTTGGAAAAACAGAGTCTGAAAGAAATAGATATATGTGTGTACTTATTGTTTAATACAAATACTATCGAATACTAATACTAAAGAGCAGAGAGAACTGCCTACTGAATCCATTTCAAATGAGGACAATTAGACCTTAAAATAATTTCCTTCTCAATGGAGGTAATAAAAAGTATCAATCATGCCTCACTGTGAAGCAGGTGCTGCTATAAGACAAACCTCCATGTCTGCTGCCACCTTTGAGTAAGAAGTCTAGAACTGCTGGGAGCAAGGAGAAGGACAAGCTAGAAAGGAAAATAGAGTCAGCAGAGAGCCAAAGGCAACAGATAATACTGGAATATAACATTTATTGTTTGGGCTAAATAAGGCCTAGGTGTATAACCCCTTCACTAGTCTTGATATTTTATATTTCTTTTACTGCATATTGGGGGGGAAAAAAGCTAAATTAGGCCAAGCTTATGGAACTGAGTCAGCAGCAGGTACCTAATAAGGGGCTACGTTTCTCTCAAGTCATCTAGTCTTTCTTCCATCAGTGACAGGTACACACCTCAGTGCCTCTAGGACTCTACTTCGTCCACTGCGAGCAGAGCGAGTGCTGTCAGGGGTTGAAGATGCGCTGTTACAGCCACTTCTTGAAAGGGAAGTCCTCTGCCCTTGGTGTTTCACTATTGATGTTGCAGACATTATCTCCTGTAACTGCTTCTGAAAGTTCTCTCTCATCTCTAAGGTCTGTGTCAGAACTTGAAACAAACACAAATACACCATTCAAGGTAAGTTTCTCTCTCTTTTTTTTTAAACCATATCTTACATTAACTATTTTGTTTAGACTTGGTTGAACACAAACTTATTGACTTGACATTTACTGAATACTAACTACAGACCACACTAATGTACTAAGACTATATGAATACTGTAGAACATAAAAAGCAGCCCTTACCACAAGCACTGTACATGTAATAAGTAGGAAGCCCTTCAAAGACTTTTTTACAAAGATCTCAGCTCACTGTAAACTCCACCTCCTGGGTTCAAGCAATTCTCCCTGCCTCAGCCTCTAAAGTAGCTGGGATCACAGGTGCCCGCCAACATGCCCAGCTAATTTTTGTATTTTTTAGTAGAGATGAGGTTTCGCCCTGTTGGCCAGCCTGGTCCTGAACTCCTGACCTCAGGTGATCTGCCCGCCTGGATTACAGGTGTGAGCCACTATGCCTGGCCCCCTTCAAAGACATTTCATCAAGACCTGTAGTGTTTACCCTTCTGTAAAGTTCCCTGCCTGCTTCTGACTCTTATGATATGTACTGTACTGTGAGATGCATTACAGTCATTTGCGTAGGTGACTGATTTTTCCCAAAGATTCTTTTTATTTTTTAGAGACAGGGTTTTGCTCTGTGGCCCAGGCTGGACTGCAGTGGTATGATCACAGCTCATTATAACCTCCTGGGCTCAAGTGATCCTCCAATCTCAGCCTCCTGAGTGCTGGCACTGCAGGTACACACCACCATGCCTGGCTAACTTTTAATTTTTTTGCAGAGACAAGGTCTCACTTATATTGCCCAGGCTGGTCTGGACTCCTAGTATCAAGTGATCCTCTTGCCTTGGCCTCCCAAAGCTCTGGGATTATAGTGTGGGCCATCATGCCCAGACTCCCTAATGGGTCTTGAAAACACAGACCACAACATACAGCCAGCCCTCCACATCCACTGGTTCTGCATGCATGGATTCAACCAAGTATGGATCAGAAATATTTTAAAGACATAAAAATGAAAAATAACGATACCACAAAAAAGTACCTGTAAAAAAATAAAACTATTTACAAAACATTTGTATATTAGGTATTATAAGTAATCTAGAGATGATTTAAAATATACAGGAGGATATGCATTGGTTAAATTCAAATCCTATGCATTTTACACATAAGAGACTTAAGCTTATCTGTGGATTCTGGTACCTGAGGTAAGTCCTTGGAACCATACCCCATGGATAACCAAGGGACAAGACAACTGGATTTACCTTCAGTTTTTTTAAAGCCTAAACTCTGGAGTAGGTATTAAATACTTTTGGAATGAACAGAGTGAGACTAACCAAATAGGTAAGTCATAGGGAAAGCTCTGGTAGGTTAGAATAAGTAAGGAAAATAGAACATATTAATCTGTTAAAAAGGCATCCATATATAAGGAGCAAGGAAGTAGAAATAACCTAAATGCCTATTAAGAATGGATGCCTAAACAAAGTGGGGCCATTCATCATAAATACAATATAGTTGCCCAAAAAGAAAGAAAAGAAAGGAGGTAAGGGAAAGGAAGAGAAAATTGGGAAAAGGAAGAAAGGAAGGAAAGGGAGGGAAAGAACAAAGAAAAGAAAAAAGACTAAAGGTTGTCCTAGTTATCCACTGATAAAAAACACTCCCCAAGGTAACAAAAAGATCAGTGTATGAAACAGCATGTATAGTAGTCCACCATTTATGTTTTTTTTTTTTAAATGGGAGAAAAAGACATATTTATGGCTGTATATGCATGAAACAGCTCTAGAAGGATACATAAGAAACTAAAAATATTAGGGGCCTGGGAACAATGGTGGAAGAAACTCTTCATATTTCTTTTAGTATCTTTAAAACTATATGAATATGTTAAAATACATTGTACGTATAAGAACACTTTTTGAAAATCACTCAAAAGAACTGAACCAAAGACCAGATTTTTAAAAAAATTCACCAACTTCACCTGCCTTCAGTGGAATAGGGTAGTATCACACTAATTCCATAAAAATCTAGTTTCAGGCCAGGCACAGTGGCTCACACCTGTAATCCTAGCACTTTGGGAGGCCAAGGCAGGCGGATCACCTGAGGTCAGGAGTTCAAGACCAGCCTGATCAACATGGTGAAACTCCGTCTCTATACAAAATTAGCCAGGTGTGGTGGTACATGCTTGTAATCCCAGCTACTCAGGAGGCTGAGGCAGGAGAGTTGCTTGAACCCAGGAGGCAGAGATTGCAGTGAGCCAAGATCGTACCATTGCACTCCAGCCTGGAAAACAAGAGCTAAGATCATGGCATTGCACTCCAGCCTGGGCAACAAGAGTGAAACTCTGTCTCAAAAAAAAAAAAAAAAAAAAATCTAGTTTCATAAATTTTGTAAGCTTTACACTTAAAACTCTACACAAAACTTTGCAAATTATCACTTAGTGATCAGCATGGGACCACATATCAATCCTCTAATATATGGTTTGCTTGTATTTAGCAATATAGAAAATAATTTTATTTTTTTATCTGACATAAAGGAAGCATTCTGTATGAAAGAAAGACATACATTTGTAAACAAATTTAGTAATTTAAAAATATTTTACAGCTGGGTACAGTGGCTCAAAAGCAAGAGGATCCTTTGAGCCCAGGAGTTCCGATCAGTGTGTGCAAGATGATGAGACCTCATCTCTATGATAAATTAAAACATCTGCCAGATATGGTGGCATGTGCCTGTGGTCCCAACTATTTGTGAGGTAAAGGTGGGAGGATCGCCTGAGCCTAGGAGGTTGAGGCTTCAGTGAGCCATGATCGTGCCACTGCAATACAGCCTAGGCAACAAAGTGAGACCCTGTCTCAAAAAAAATTGTTTCAATTTAAAAATAAATAAAATATTTTACCTCCTTTAGAGTAATTCCTTCCATTTTCATTTGATGATGCTGATTCTTTATTATTGGTCGCCACATTGTCTACATTATTTTCTTCTAAAATCAAATGATCTGGCTATTCAAAAAGAAAAATTATAATTTCTCAAATCAAGACACTGTATAAGGTTTCATAGTAATATACGATTATACCTGTAGCTTATGGGGTAAATGTATCATCCATATCGCCTACCTCATCATCCTTTGTTGCAGACACAGCTGAGAGTAATCGATTATTACAGAGTCGGCCATCTTGCACAGCACTGATATCCAAGCTCATTTTGGGATTATAAGTATGTGGATAAAGAGATTCAGGAAGATGTTTATTCTCTTGGGCACACTGCAATACAATGGTGTGCTTTAAGAAAGGACTGACAAAATCTTAATGAATAGAGGATGTTAAGTAAGATAAGGACAAGCAATACGTTATAATGTAAGATGGCAAAAAGTTCACAAAATTAGTTTTAAAAGTAGTTATACTGAAAAATTTGCATCATACAAATGACAAATTGTCCTCACTTTTCCAGTGTCATATCCGCTGAAGTATAAAATCTGAAACCTGTGCTTTTGCAAAGGTATCAATTACCCTCCAGAGGATACCCAGAAAAAAAGAAACACAGACCTAAACTCTATTGATACATTAAATTTTCCCCTAATAATTATAAACTTTCCATTCATATCACATTTTTAATTAGTAAAAGGAAATGGAGAATTAGAGTCTCCATTAGAGATTGGTTAAGTATTGAAGGACTAGAGATCTTACGTTTTTGATGCCAAAGAACTGAAATGTGTACAGTTAACCAAGATTATTAAACTGGCTTTTAGTTCCACTGAGAGAGAAAATTCTGAGTTAGTGCTCTGAAATGATGTTTGTATACATATTCAATTAACAAAGGGGGACAAAAAGCATTGCTTACATCTAAAAGCCAGTGCTCTGAAACAATATGTACTCCTCTTTCTTTCACAGATTTATACTCCCGATTTGTGTCATTTGGCCGCCCTTGATAGATGAAATGAGTCACTGTTTCATCAAAACTCCACCTGAAATAACCAGTACAAGAAAACGAGTAACAGAAACATCTACATTAGTTTAAGACGATCCTTATTTACTATGAACAGAACAGAATATTCTGACCTTCCCAAAACTTTCAAACTAGAGTAAACAAGACCATTAAAATGACAGGCTCAAGCCAAGTGACACATCCCTACAGTCACAGCTACTCAGGAGGCTGAAGCAGGAGGATCACTTGAGGTCAGGAATTTGAGGCTGTAGTGCACACCTGTGAACAGACACTGTATTCCAGTCCAGGCAACACAGCAAGACTCTGCCTCAAAAAAAAAAAAAAAACAGTTAAAAAATAACGACAGGCTCTATCTTTTTGGACAAATTTTATGCATATCTCTGTAGGTAAAGAGAGGTTTGGAAGAATATTCTTTAAAATATTATGTTCTTCTTTATGCTTTTCTGAATGATTCCAATATTCTTTTGTAATGAGTATCACTTTTACAGTAATTATAAAGATATTTCAAATTAATAAATCACGAAGCATCCAATTTGTCCTCCAGTTGTTGGCAGTCAGTATTCATTGTATGCCCCAAAAGACTATATATATATATTTCATACATCATTATCTCATCCAGTCCTCACAACAGTCCTAACAGTGGTATTATTACATTTACCTTACAGATAAAATAACTAAAGGATATGGTTCAGTACTGTGTTCAAAGATAGTCAATGAGTAAATGATAGAGATAAGTTTGATTTCAAAAGCCATGCTTGTGCTATGAACTCCCAATATTCTCTCTCTCTTGTTTTTTTGGAGACAGAGTCTTGCTCTGTCGCCCAGGCTGGAGGGCAGTAGCATAATCTCGGCTCACTGTAACCTCCACTTTCTGGGGTCAAGCAATTCTCCCGTCTCAGCCTCCCGAGTAGCTGGGATCACAGGTGTGTGCCACCATACCCTGCTAAATTTTTTTTTTTTTAGATGGAGTCTCACTCTGTCACCAGCCTGGAGGGCAGTGGCACAATCTTGGATCACTGCAACCTCCGCCTCCCAGGTTCAAGCAGTTCTGCCTCCCAAGTAGCTGGGACTACAGGAGTGCATCACCATGCCCAGCTAATTTTTATATTTTTAGTAGACAGGGTTTCACCATGTTGGCCAGGCTAGTCTCGAACTCCTGACTTCAAGTGATCCACCCACCTTGGCCTCCCAAAGTGCTGGCATTACAGGCATGAGCTACCATGCCTGGCCCCTATTCAATATTCTTTTGACCTGAGAAAGATCAAGTAAAAATCAAAGGGTAAGTGAAAAATATATTTCTAAATACAATCACCAAAATAAACAGAATTTTATCCTTATGGATACTTAATGTTTTCCATTTTCTAAGTAAGGAATATCTCTAAACTTTTTAAATAGACAAATTAATTAAGAAGTAGTATTGCCTCCTAAATTATATGTAAAAATCTCTATTTCCTACTGACTATGTATCTTCGAACGCGATATTAAAAATACACCATGCCTAGTTTGTTAGTCCTCCGAATAACTGTCTCCCTTCCTGCTGTAGTGGTATATTATCAAGATAATTCAGAAGAACAGAAGAATATTTTTGCCTGAAACAATTTGGTTTACTATTCAACTCCACTATGACAATATGGAAACCATGAGTTTCAGTCTTCAGAGGCCATTCAGAAATGACTGTCGGTATTTGTATATCATTTACATTACGGTCTGGCAAATTTTTTTTAAAAGGCAGATGGTAAATATTTTAGGCTTTGCAGGCCAAACAATCTCTGTCACAATTGCTCAACTCTTGCCTTGTATGTGAAAGCAGCCATAGGCAATTTGTAAGTGAAACGGCATTGCTGTATTCCAATAAAACTTTACTTACAAAAACAGATGAACCAGCCCATCCACCCTTGGTCTAGATCAGTAGTTTCAGTAAAAGTGTTACTTCAGGAGTTATTTTGGACATTTGTGCGGGTGATTTTGCTTATTACAATGTGTGTCTGTATCCTGGAGGGTGCTATTAGCATGTAGGGGGTAAGGTACAGGATGCTGGAAATTCCGGGGAACAGTCATACGTATAATTATCTCATTATCTTGCATGATATTCTAATGTCTTGACAAATTCACGTATATTAAAAAAAAGTTGTTTATAATTAGATGAGTCTAGAATCTGTTTAACATATAAACACAAGTTATTTTTTGCACTTTTAATACACACTAATATACCAAAAATGCAACTACTGTATAAACTGATGGAAGACCACTGCAACTCATGGTATCTGAGCCCCCAGATCGGTCTCAGCCTTGGGACTGTTGGATTTGTGCTGACTTTACATAGGTATACAAACATATTAATACTCCATTATTTTCTAGTGTTGTCAGGCTCAAGCATTACATACTGAAAATATATCTTTTCTATATGATGTACCTTCTATTTCTCCTATGTATCACAGAGTACTGTACTGCCTGCTACTTTTTAAATTATAAAATTAGGTAGGTTACATTTATAAATTTCATTTTACTAGAGGGAATGTTACACAAATATTTATAATAAAATGAAGATGCTGTATCTGATGTGTTGCGAAGATCTGGCCTACATGTTTAATCTTCTGAAGATAGAAGACAGTATCAAATGATCTCTTTGGGACAGTCTGCTCCTAGATCATGGAAGGGGACATTTGGAACAACTTCCCCTGAGAACTGCTTACCTATGAATACATAAATATCATAACCTCTGCATATTAAAAGGCTCTTCCCTTTTGTCAATTACCAATCCATTTCAGGAAAAGACTGAATATAAACTTCAATGCAAAGCAATAGTTAAATTCTGTTTAGGAATTTCAGTAATAAATTCTATTTTTAATACTGAGAGGACTGGCATTTTAAATTGTATAAAAACATAAATCCTATATGTTCCTTTGTAAGTCTTATGTCTACATCAGAATATCCAAGGAAACATTCAATTTTGCTGAAAAAAATACACACACACACACCCTCCCACCCACCCACCCCTTGTAGGGCTACTGTGAGAATGAAATGAGATAATGCTCAGCAACTGGCAATAGGTAACACAAAAGTAATTATACGCAAGAGACTCTCAATCCCAGATACTGATGTCATTTGTGCTAGAAACTGTCTTCTGCTTAGGTTGTCAGATTGAGTGAAGAAAAATCTGATTATCTAAATCTCCAAAGTCTTAAAAAAAAAAAAAGGTTTTAATTAAAACATGCTCAAAAAAGACTATCTTAATAAAGGAGGGCTGCCAGAGTACTTGGTACTACTCATAGAGGACTCTAATCTGAAAAATCACCAAGGTAAAAACAAACAATCTCAGATCCAGATGTATTACTATTAATAGACTACAAACTCCCTGAACACAGGGATTCTTTTAGACTATACTGATCACTCATGGATCCCAAGTTTCTAGAATAGTTAGTGGCACAAAATAGTTCTCCAATATTTGTTGTACATACCCTAAAAAAATATACATATCAGAATGACTTGATATGTGAGAGGCTATTTTCTTATTTTTTAGTTTATTTTATTTATTTTTTTTTTGAGACAGAGTTTCGCTCTTGTTACCCAGGCTGGAGTGCAATAGCGCGATCTTGGCTCACTGCAACCTCTGCCTCCTGGGTTCAGGCAATTCTCCTGCCTCAGCCTCCTGAGTAGCTGGGATGCTATTTTCAAAAGATGTGGTAAATTAAAAATGAACTGGAGATATTTTAAAGATAAAGACACATGAAACAACAAAATAAATGTTTTCCTGAAGATGCTCACAATAGCTTTAGGTTTCCTGATAAATTTCAGTCACATCACCATGAAACAGAAAGATGTGCCAACTACCTGTAATCTGCTCCTAGAGAGGCTGCAATCCCATTTAGTTCACTCTGCTTCTTACTGAGTTTTTTACTAACACATACCACTACTTTGTGGAGTGGCTTTGGGGCTTCTTCCTGTCCATGGAAAATAAAGAAAACAGATCAGCCATTATTTGAAATGTTATCTAAAACTTCCTTTTAATAAGAGAACTAATCCTACCTTCTCTGACTGGGCATCTTTCAATTGGGGGCTGGCAGAAAGAGCCACAGCATCATGAGAGCTATTTGCCAAAGCAAGTTTCAAGTTTCTGACAATGACTTCTGAGAGCGGTGTACTCAGTTTCCTTTTCTGTTGGCTAGGACATCCTGGAGTTTGCAAGGCTTCAAGTGCATCCTATACATTCGAAGGAGAGGGAGAGGGAGAAAAGAAGAGAGCGAAGCAAGATGGGTTAATAGGACAGAAAAAAAGAAAAATGAGGTGGAAGGGATAAAGGGAGAGAAGGGGAGAATCCTCGTTATTTATTTATTATTTTTTAATTATTTTTTGAGACAGAAAAATCTCGGCTCACTATACCCTCTGACTCCCAGGTTCAAGCAATTCTCCTGCCTCAGCCTCCTGAGTAGCTGGGAATACAGGCATGTACCACCATGCCCAGCTAATTTTTGTATTTTTAGTAGACATGGGGTTTCACCACATTGGCCAGGCTGGTCTTGATCTCCTGACCTCATGACCCACCTGCCCCGGCCTCCCAAAGTGCTGGGACTGCAGGCGTGCATGAGTCACCGAGCCTAGCCAAAGGGAGAATCCTTAAAATTAATGGATTACAGTTTAACCTCCTCTAGTTTTCCTCCAAACAACAATAAAAAGAATAAACTATAATCAAATCTATATGCTGTGAAGAACAAAAATTCCATACTGTCCAGCAAATTGGTTCAAAGAGACTATCAAGTTTACATTTTCAGCAGAGCTTGCCTCTTACCTGAATCTTAAGAGGTGAATTTGCAAAACAAAGAACAAAACCCAGAAGGAAACAAATAAACAAGGATGAACATAATCAAGAAATGAATTATAAGAAAGTTTGGAAAGTCAGAATGAGCTGAGAATTATGAAAAAATCTTCAAAAGTACAAAATATATTCCTGTTCTATAAAGCTACCCAGATCCCTCCTGAAAGGCAGCTACTGTTGTCCAAATGGCTTGCTCATTCTCTGTTGCATGTGCATAGTATTCCATGCATCAAAATGTATTTAACCTGTATAAACTGGTAAGTTTTAGGTTAACGATCTTTTGCTGGTATAATGATGCAATGAATAACCTTGTACACACATGATTTTGCATATCCAAGAGTAAAGGAAACCTTCTAAGCAAAATCTATCTACCAGCCCAGTGCAGTGGCTTTTGTCAGTAATCTCAGCTACTCCAGATAAGTTGAAGCAGGAAGATAGGTCAAGGCCAGGAGTTTGAGACCAGTCTGGGAAACACCACGAGACACCATTTAAAAAAAAACAAAACCAACGTGTATCTACCAATACTGACATTTTCATGAGCAAAGTATGAGAGTGTATATTTTCTAAACACGCTTGATATCGCAATAATCAGATTTTTCTGACAACCTGATAAGACTAAAATTTGTATCTGTATGCTTTAATTTTCTACTCTTTTATACTGAATGAGGTTAAAATATCTTTATATATGTTTACTTATATCTAATTTTTTGTGACGACTATCTGTTCCTATCCTTTGCCCATTTTTCCACTGGGTTGTTAGCTTTTTTTATATATTCACTTGTATGAATATGTTTTTATATTCATTTATATGAATTTATATGTACATGTATCAACTGTGATATAATATCCACATAATTTTAATTTTCCATTTATCATTTGTCAAATTTTTGCCATAGAGCTTTTTTTTAAAGAGATAGAGTCCTGCTTTGTCACCCAGGCTAGAGTGCAGTGGCATGATCATAGGGCAGTTCTAACTCCTGGGTTCAAGGGATCCTCTCACCTCAGCCTCCCAGGTAGCTGAGACTCCAGATGCACAACCCTGTGCTCAGCTAATTTTAAGTTTATTCATAGAGACAGGGTCTTGCTGTCTTTTTCCCAGGCTGGTCTCAAACTCCTGGGCTCGAGCAATCCTCTCACCCTGGTCTCCCAAAGTGCTGGGATTACAGGTGTGAGCCACTGTGCCTGACTGGAGAATTTTGTTTTGTTTTTTGAGACAGGGTCTTGCTTTGTTGCCCAGGCTGGAGTACAGTGGCTTGATCTTGGCTCACTACAACCTCTGCCTCCAGGTCTCAAGAGATCCTTCTACGTCAGCTGGGACTACAGGTATGTGCCACCACACCCAGTTAGAGAATTTTTAATGCTGTCAAATTCATATAAATCTTCTATTTCTTTTGGAGTGTACATTATAGTTAGACCTTCCCCACACTAAGCTTATTTTAAAAACAAACTCATGACATGTTTTGGAATTGTTATGGCTTCATTTCTTATATTTAAAGATCTGATCATTAAATATAAGAAACGGGTGTGGTGGTTCATGCTTATATTCCCAACGCTTTGGGATGCCAAGGCAGGAGAACTGCCGGATCTCAGGAGTTCTAGACCAGCCTGAGCAACATGGTGAGACTCTACCTCTCCAAAAAAATACAATTAGCTGGGGCACCGTGCCATGTACCTGTAGTCTGAGTTACTCAGGAGGCTGAGATGGGAGGGCTGCTTGAGCTTAGGAGGTCGAAGCTACAGTGAGCCATGATGATGCCACTGAACTCTAGCCTAAGGGATAAAGTGAGATCCCATCTCAAAAAAAAACCCAAAAAGTTAATCTAAAAAGTTTTCTGATGTAAAGTGTGAACTTCAATTACAACGTATTCTCAGATGTCCACCTAGCTTTCTGATTTAATGCTGCTTTTATTACATAATAATTTCCCCTATTTATGGAGTATAATCTTGTACACTGAATTGATTATTCACGTGACAACACACTGCTTTAATTACTGCAACTTGATATAGGAGGTTTTAATAAATGGTAGAGCTACTGCCTACCTGCAATTATTCTTTTCAGACTTTTAAAATACTGTTTCTGCTTGTGTATTTCTTTTCTAGGATCTACATTACCTTTTGATATAGTTTGGATTTGTGTCCCTACCCAAATCTCATGTTGAACTGTAATCCCCAATGATAGAGGAGCCTGGTGGCAGGTGATTGGATTATGGGGCAGATTTCCCCCTTGCTGTTCTTGTGATAATGAGTTCTCACAATATCTGGTTTGTTTTGAGATGGAGTCCACTCTGTTGCCCAGGCTGGAGTGCAGTGGCATGATCTTGGTTCAATGCAACCTCTGCCTCCTAGGTTCAAGCGATTCTCCTGCTGCAGCCTCTTGAGTAGCTGAGTTTACAGGCATGAGCTATCATGTCTGGCTGATTTTTATACTTTTGTAGAAGATGGGGTTTCACCATGTTGGCCAGGCTGGTCTTGAACTCCTGACCCTGACCTCAGGTAATCCACGGGCCTCGGCCTCAAAAAGTGCTGGGATTACAGGCATGAGTCACCACACCTGGCCAATATCTGGTTGTTTAAAAGTGTGTGGCATCTCCCCACACACTATTTTTTCCTCCTCCTCCATCCATGTATGACTTGCCCACTTTCCCTTCACTTTCCACTATAATTTTAAGTTTCCTGAGGACTCCCAGCAGTACTTCCTGTATAGCCTATGGAACTGTGAGACAATTAAACCTCTTTTCTTTATAGATTTGGGCATGGGAGCTCACACTTGTAATCCTAGCTCTTTGGGAGGCTAAGGAGGGTGGATCACTTGAGGTCAGAAGTTTTAGACCAGCCTGATCAACATAGTGAAACCCAGTTTCTACTAAAAATACAAAAATTAGCCAAGTGTGGTGGTGGGCGCCTGTAATCCCAGCTACTCAGGAGGCTGAGGTAGGAGAATTGTTTGAACCTGAGAGGCAGAGGTTGCAGTTAGCTGAGATTACACCATTGCACTCCAGGTTGGGCAACAGTGCGAGACTATGCCTTAAAAAAAAAAAAAGTACATCCAAACAATTTGTAGAAGATGCAAGGCCACAGTAAAAGTTATGAACATGCAGAACTCAAGGAATACTGTACACATAGCTTCCTGAGGAATCTACTAGAGAAGGAACTTCATCCTACCAAGGGTGACAGGGAAGCTTCAAAAAGAAGAGTATGTATTTCATGTATTTGATTGGAGGGTCAAGACAAAAATGACGCTGAGGTCTGTGGGTTGAAGAAACACATTTTCCCTCCTGACAAAGTAAAAAATATGCAATGAAAAATAGAAAAGAGAAGAGGGGTAAACAGAATAAGATCTGCTACAAAGGCAATTAGTGAGAGTCAAAAACATAACTTAAGACTGACAAATAATAAAGAATATTATTTAAGTAACATGAAGTACGCATCATCATGCCCAGCTAATTTTTCCAACTTTTTATAGATGGGGGAGGGCGGGGTCTCACCATGTTGCCCTGTCTGGTTTCCAACTCCTTGCCTCAAGGGATCCACCTCAGCCTCATAAAGTGCTGAAATAACAGGCATGAGCCACTATGTCCAGCCATCCTTGTATTTATTTCTTTTTGAGACAGGTTCTTGCTCTGTCACTCAAGCTGGAGTGAAGTGGTAGGATGACGGCTCACTATAGCCTCAAACTCCTGGGCTCAAGCCATCTTGCCGCCTCAGCCTTCTGAGTACCTAGGACTATAGGTGCACTCCACCAAGCCCAGATAATTTAAAAAAATTTTTTGATAGAGATGGGGTCTCGCTATTTTGCCCAGGCTGGTCCAGAACTCCTGGTCTCAAGTGATGCTCCGACCTCAGCCTCCCAAAGTGCTGGGTGAGCCACCATGCCCAGCACCTTGTACCATTTTTATTTTGCAACTTTTTGTAAGTTAGAAATTATTTTGGAATTACAAAGTGAAATAGTAACAAGTATCAGCAAAGATGAGGAACACTGGGTACACTCAACTGGGTACACTGGATAGAAGCATAAACTGGTACAACCACTTGGGCAAAAAATTTGTCATTCTCTACTGAAGCTGAAATATAACGCAACAATTTCACTTCTAGGTATATATCACATAGTAACACACACACACACACATAGATTCCAAGAGACATACACAAGAATGTTCACAGTAAAATTATTTTGTAAGAGTAAAAAACTAGTAACCAACTAAATGGCCATCTATTGACGGCAGTGCTAGTACACTGGAGATGTAAATTCTGTATATTCATACAAAGGAATAAATAAATGAACTATATTTGTATGCAGTAAAACAGACAATTCTAAATAAGGGTTAAAGAAGAATAAAAAAACAGACTCAAAAGAATACATACTATGATTCCACATATTTCAAAGTCAAAAACAAGCATAACAAAACTACAGTATTAGAAGTCAGGAGTACACTTTAGGGAGAAAGCAGTAATGGAGCCACAAGGAAGGGTTTCCAGTACTGACCATGGTCTTTAACTGAATGTGTTTAGTGGCTTCCCAATGATTAACCCTGATATTTCATTAGCAGTGTAGTTATTGTACTGTTCTGATGTATACTAATTAAAAATTAAGTTTAAATAAGAGGTATTTTTTGGGGGTGAAGGGAGGGTAAGGCCTAACAGACGGTCAATTTTGTGATTATTCCATGGGCCCTTTCATGTTTTGAGTAAAGAATTCAACATGTTATATCAGTTTGAAGAACCACTGATTATAAGATGAAGCATTATTTATATGCCATCAAACAAGAAAGAAAAAAGAGAAAAAAAATTGCTCAATAAACTATGACTCCGAACAATAAAATCTTTAAATGTGTTTTTTGCACTGAGGCTATTCAGAACTATAAGCTTTCCCCTACAAAACTTTTATTGCAAAGTATCTACAAAAGAATGGTCTCAATGACTGAAAATATTTCTATTTTCTTCTCTACTAATATTATTACATTTGTTCTTCAGAGAATCTGTGAGACATGAGACTTTAGAGATCATCTGGATTTTATCAATGAGAATATAAAGCTCAGAGGCTGACTTGCTTTTAAAAGGCAGCAGTAGGCAAAAGAAGAGGTTTGATCCTACACCTCACAGTTCCCAAGACTGATTTTCCTCTATTTCTTAAGGGATATGGACCAGATATTAATCACAGTACAAAATGTTAACTCAGAAGAGATTTCATGTGAAAACGTAGGATTTTGAGTTTAACAGTAGAGACAGATTTTTTTTTTCATGTGGGTCACTGGAATTCTGACCAAAAATAAAGACATAAATTAGCATGGGGAAAATTATCTTGGATATCAATTAATATTTATTTTCTGAATATGAATAATCTGTAAACTTTTTAATAAGTCTGCTCCAAAACACACTAATAAAAATTATTAAAACGTTGCTTCTAAATACCCTACAAGCAAAAATATCAACAGATGAATGAATACAATGATTCTGCGAAGGTTCATGGATAAAGAAATCATAGACAATGGTTTGAACAGCCACTTAAGAGGTCAAAAGCTACTACAGAAACAGTGATGATGGCTCACACCTATAATCCCAGCACTTTGGGAGACTAAGGCGGGTGGATCACCTAAGGTTGGGAGTTCAAGACCAGCCTGACCAACATGAGAAACCCTGTCTCTACTAAAAAAACATAAAATTAGCCAGGTATGGTGGCACATGCCTGTAATCCCAGCTACTTGGGAGGCTGAGGCAGGAGAATCACTTGAACCTGGGAGATGGAAGTTGCAGTGAGCTAAGATCAGGCCATTGAATTCTAGTCTGGGCAACAAGAGCGAAACTCCATCTCAAAAAAAAAAAAGTGATAAAAATCAACTTCGGAAAATAAAAGAAAATCATCTGGAAGATTATCTTAGTCCCTGATTTGCAAATAAATTTTTCAGAAAGGGAGTCATACTATACTGCTCAGGAGATGAAACTAAAACACAGATTTAACTAATGTCTTTACAGGAAACAATTCAAGTTACATTTTCAGAAAGTAAATCATGGGTGTACTCTGAGAACCAATACATAAAGCAGCAGTGTGTTTAGATTTTATAGTTTATAAAATGCTTTCATCATTTGATCTTCAGAATCTATGAATTTTCAAAGCAAATATTATCCTCTTTGTATGAAACAACAAACTGAAGCTCAGTTATGTTAAATGATTGGCCTAGTCATACAGTTCAAGATCAATCTAGTACTTGAACCTAGATGTCCTCATTTCACACCATATTTATCTATATCTGTTACTGTAACCCTGGATGGATATTGGGGCCCAAAACATTCAAACTCAGTAACAGAAACCTACTTGCCAACATCTCTGGAAAATTGACTCCAACATTTTAGAGGTGATGCAGAATTTGGTGCTTTAACTTTATAAATGGTAAAACTACTAACTCTGGGACCATTGCCTATAAATCTTACCTTCACATCAAAGGAAGGCTTGAAGAGTTTGTCCTTGGACAGAAACTTTGATGGTGTATCCAGGTGTAATGAGGGCTCCTTCTGAAGTGGTTGTCCTACTGCTGGGGAGGCTGAAACCTGTCTGGCATGTTGTGAGACCACAGCACAAAAAGCTTTACTCTGAAAGCGGTTCATATCTAAAGGTGTAACGATGGTTTTTCTATGAGTTTGCAAGTGTGTGCCAGGATGCTCTGCAGTATCTGGATTTAGATTGATTCCATTTGCTATTTCTGTTTCCAAAGTTCGTTCTAGAGATTTAAAATGAAAAGAAACAAATATGAGCCACTAATGCCCACTTTTTTTTCCTATATACAAGAAGTAATGTTTTATATCTGTTTTCTTTCTTTTCTCTGTTTTAGATATTGGGTCTTACTTTGACTCTAACCCAGGCTGGAGTGCAGTGGTATGTTCACGGCTCACTGCAGCTTTGACCTCCTGGGCTCAAGCAATCCTCCCACCTCAGCCTCCAAAACAGCTGGGACTACAGGGACATAACCACCACACTTGGCTAATTTTTTGTATTTTTTTGTTGCCCATGCTAGTCTTGAACTCCTGGGCTCAAGCAATCCACCCACCTTGGCACCCCTATCTAACTGTTAGTTTTCATGTCATTCTCAGGTACACTTTAAATCATAAAATTATATAGCTACTTTCCAAGAAACAAACCAGATTATGCATTAAATATGTATTAAGATAGACAAGCACATTAACTGGAAAAAAAAAAAAAGATTTCCTGTTTTATCTTGCTATGTCTCAATAAGCTTATTTGCCAAAAATTGTATCAGTGAATAGTCTTCCTAGTCAATGACAGAGTAAAAAGAAAATCTGAATTACATGTACTCAGAGTTAACTACAGTCAAATTTTGGAAAATCCTTAATCAAATTTCAATATGACCTAAACATCACTTAGCCTTAGTCATAAAATTACATCTGTCTGGCAAAATAAGTAATGACCCTGAGAGGTATTCCCAAGTTGCTATTATCTTCCAAGAAAGAGTACTGATTCTTCCACCCCTGCCTTCCACCTTTTTCCAACACTTAACAAAAAACTTATTAGATAACTACTCCATGCCACGTGTAGTGTAAGACATGGGAAATACAGAATTCACAAGACACGCATGTTCCCAGCCTTTCTAGAATTTGTAATTTAGCAGAAAGACACAAAATAAACCAGCATTGTAACACTGAGGTAAGAACTACAAAAGGGATAATACAAAGTGTCATGGTAAAACAAAACATTACAGAAAGACAAAGGCCATACTTCGTAAGTCAAGAAAGGTTTTCCAGGGAAAGTGGTATCTTAGCTGAGAACTGAAAGATAAGAAGGAAGAGCAAGCAACTGTGAGGTGCTCCACAGGAAATGTGCAGAAGCCCAAAGATGAAAGCACATTAATTACATAGTGTGTTACTGTGAGCCATAGAAGGAATTAATATTAAATAAGAGCCAAGCATACATCTTTAGACTTCAAACACTGAGACCCTCACTGCACCCAATGTGAAAAGTGAAAACCAATAACCTTTCCTAAAAACAAGCATTAGCACATTTATATCCCAGAAACCATCAAGTTGTAAATACATATAAAAGAACGGAATAAAAGTATTAACCTTCTTTAGATGAATTTTCAATCAGAAAATGGCTTTCATCTGCTCTCTTTCCCGTTCTAGCAGTCTCCAACAGCCAAGCTATAGTAACTGCAGGTAAATTCCACTTCTTTGCCGCTTCATATTTAGAGCCACCAGGTTCTTTTAATATAAGATGAGTACTGGCAAGCATGCCTTTCTTTGCATTGGATTTGCGAACAAAGTATTCTTGAACACTGAAATTTATATTTAAAGAAGTACAAATGGTCACGTAAACAATTGGTCCACAAAACTAAGAACATTTTTAACACAAGAGTGTAGTTAGAGATCATCTAAGTATAAGAAAATATACACTGATTAAAAGCTGATTTATTCTATGTGAAATTAAGCTAATCCCCTTACAAATGCTTACTCTAAGGTAAAAATGTATTGCTAGAACAAGCTTTTTTAAAAACATAATTAGACATGCAAAGAATAGACAGCAAAATTACCTCTTTTTTTGAGACAGGGTCTTGCTATGTTGTCCAGGCTGGAGTGCAGTGACATACTCACAGCTCACTGCAACCTCTGCCTCCTGGGCTCAAGCCATCCTCCCACCTCAGCCTCCCCAGTAGCTTGGACTACAGGTGTACACCACCACACCCAGCTAATTTTTCTGTTTTTTGTAGAGATGGGGTTTCACTATGTTGCCTAGCCTGGTCTCGAACATCCTCCTGCCTCAGCCTCCTAAAGTTGGGATTACAGGCGTGAACCACCTTGCACAGCCAAAATTACCTCCTTAATTAGTTACTACCCACATGCCTTGTCCTTTCTGGAAAAAATGACAGGAGCAAACAGTAATTGTTTAAAAATCTGCCACAACTTCTCAAAGCATTTCTATGTATTATCTCATTTGATCCTCTCAATATTTTAGACAAGGGGAAAAATACAGAGAAATTAAGTGACTTACTCAAGATCATAGGATATTAAACACAGAGAATATGGGGCAGAAAAAAGAAGTCTACCATTTGAGATTGAACAGAATTCAGTGATTTCTTTTGACTTCTGGGTTTTACATTCTAGTCCCTGACCTTTCGGATTTTTTAATTTCCCGTGTTTCCTAGCACTTTTTTTTCTATGTTACATGTTTATCCTACTACTTTTATAACTTCATTTTTTACATTTAACCCACAAATCAATTCAGTACTTATTTAGGTATGAGATACTGCTCCAACTTTAATGAATCCTATTTATTGAATAAGCCATATCTTCCTTAATAATTTGAAATGCCACTTTTATCACAAATTCCTTTCCGTATTTGGGTCTCCTACTACACTTGCTGACCATTAATTAAACTTTCTGCTACAGGCAACCACACTGTTATTTAGTAAAGTTTCACAAAAGACATATTTGTTTGTTTTCTGAGACACGGTCTTGCACTGTCCTCCAGGATAAAGTACAGTGGTGCCATTGTGACCCACTGCAGCCTTGACCTCCCAGGCTCAAACAATCCTCCCATCTCAGCCTCCCAAATAACTGAGACTACAGGTTCATGCTACATAGCCGGGCTAATTTTTAAACTTTTGTAAAGACAGGGTCTCAGCATATTGCCCAGGCTGGTCTTGAACTTGGCCTCCTGCCACAGCTTCTCAAAGTGCTAGGATTACGGGCGTGAGCCACCGAAACTGGCCACAAAATACATTTTAATAACTGCTAGGACTAGTCTCAATTATTCTATTTCAGAATTTGCATGACTTTCCTGCTGAGTACAGCTTTAGTTGTATCCAATGGAGTCTGTTGTAATGTTTATCTTCTACAATTTCAGTTTTAAAAGATATTGTTTCATGTAATTCAAATACAAAACAGCAAAAAAAAAGAAATATACAGCTTAATAAATTGTTACAAGGTGAAACCCTTATGTCCACCACCCATGTCAGAAGACACAATCTTGTTAGCCCCCCAGAACCTCTCCAACATGCCATACCACCTCCCTTCCCTCCCCGCTAAATAGTAGCCACTATTTGAGCTTTTTTTTTGGAGACAGGGTCTCACTTTGTTGCCCTGGCTGTAGTATAGTTGCGTGATCATAGCTCACTGCAGCCCTGATCTCCTGGGCTCAAGCAGTCCTCCTGCCTCAGCCTCCTGAATAGTTGGGACCATAGGCACATTCCACCATGCCTGGCTCATTTATTTATTTTAAAAATAGAGATGAGGTCTTAACCATGTTGTTCAGGCTGGTCTTGAACTCCTGAGCTCAAGCAATGCTTTGGCCTCCCAAAGTGCTGGGATTCTAGGCGTGAGCCACTGGGCCAGAACCATTTGGACATTTATGGTAATCAATTCTTTTTTTTTTTTTTTTTTTTTTGAGACGGGAGTTTCGCTCTTGTTACCCAGGCTGGAGTGCAATGGCGCGATTTCGGCTCACCTCCGCCTCCTGGGTCCAGGCAATTCTCCTGCCTCAGCCTCCTGAGCAGCTGGGATTACAGGCACGCGCCACCGTGCCCGGCTAATTTTTTGTATTTTAGTAGAGACGGGGTTTCACCATGTTGACCAAGATGGTCTTGATCTGTTGACCTCGTGATCCACCCGCCTCGGCCTCCCAAAGTGCTGGGATTACAGGCTTGAGCCACCGCGCCCAGCCCAAATGTAGTCTTTAGAGATGCCATTATTTGATTAAAGAAAAGTAAAGAATTGATTACTAGCCGGGCGCGGTGGCTCAAGCCTGTAATCCCAGCACTTTGGGAGGCCGAGGCGGGTGGATCACGAGGTCAACAGATCGAGACCATCTTGGTCAACATGGTGAAACCCCGTCTCTACTAAAATTACAAAAAATTAGCCGGGCACGGTGGCGCGTACCTGTAATCCCAGCTGCTCGGGAGGCTGAGGCAGGAGAATTGCCTGGACCCAGGAGGCGGAGATTGCGGTGAGCCGAAATCGCGCCATTGCACTCCAGCCTGGGTAACAAGAGCGAAACTCCATCTCAAAAAAAAAAGACTACATTTAGGCTTTTGCTTTTCATGTCTTTTAGCTTATAGGTTCCTACCTTCTCTTCCACACCCTTCATTGAAGACACTGGATCATTTATACTGTAGGGTTATACCAGGGTTTTGCTGATGGTATCATTGCGGTGTAGTTTAACATGTTGTTCTGCTGTTTGCATTTCCTATAAATTGGTAGTTGGGTCTAGAAGCATCATCAGATTGAGGTTTGATTGTTTTGGCAAGACTAATTCAAGTGGTGGTATATTCTTCATAAGAAGGTACATCTTGTTTTGTCCCTTTATTGTGTGATTAATTATTGATGTTCAATGCCTACATTATTTCATTCATTAGGGGGTTAAAATCTTAATCATTCCTTATTTATTTATTTGTTGAAACATCTTTATAAAGGGAAACTCTGCCTTACCAACTACCATGTCACGCTGATGCAAACTGTACAGGAAATGCAAGGTTAAATACTTGATCTTCTCCCTTCATCAGCTTTCAAAGTAATGGATTGGTTCCCTAATATCTTTCAAAGATGACCAATTACCTTAGTTTATTTGGTGTCATTATGATGTCATGACTTAAAAACAATTTCATGTGTTTGGATCCACCAGTTATTATCTCTAATGATACCTAAGTTTTCATCTTTGGCAGTGGAGGTACTTTTTTTTTTTAAAGGCTAGTCAAGTCAAGTGAAGCAGTGGGTTTAGAGAAGGAACAAAGATGTTTGTAACTGGTTGTGATCAATAGTTTTAAACATCCCTACACTCAGACCAGCCCAGTGGAGGTACTTCAGACACAATCCTCTCTAGTAGTCATTGATAATGTCCTTGCTATTTGGTCTGACAAAATGTTCCAGACTTACTAGTACATTTTCTCCCCCAGCTCTGAAATTACCTGTTTCTTCAAGCTTTAGTTTTAGCGAGAAATAGCACCAGGTTGCTTGTTACTATTGGGTTGATAACTATTTCTTTCTTTCTTTCTTTCTTTTTTTTTTTTTTTAAAGACAGAGTCTCACTTTGTTGCCCCAGCTGGAGTGCAGTGGCGTGATCTCACTGCAACTTCCGCCTCCTGGGTTCAAGTTTCAGCCTCCTGAGTAGCTGGGAATACAGGCTCATACCACTACACCTGGCTAATTTTTGTAGAGACAGGGTTTCACTATGTCGGTCAGGGTTGTCTCGAACTCCCAACCTCGTGATTCGCCCACCTTGGCCTCCCAAAGTGCTGGAATTACTGGCATGAGCCAATACCCCCAGCCTTTGGATTGATAACCATTTCTAAGTTTGTATAGTTTTGATTTCCTCTTTAAACAGAGTTACTAAAAACAGTTTTAAAAATTTCCAATTGATAGAATTGTTCGTTTTAGAGTTTTATTATTCATTTCTAGTTTTTTGTGCTGTGATGAGAGAATATGGTCTGCCAACTTTTTACTTTAGGAAAAGTACTAAGATTTTCTTTGTGGCCAATTTTTCTTTTTAAAGGCAGCATTTATAAGTATCCACAGGCACTTGAAAACGTATGCTCACCATTTCAGGGTAGACATGTAACTAAATATGCTATTTAAGTCTATATCCTTCCTTATTTTCTGTCTTTTCCACCTGTCATACAGTAAAATATGGGAATTAAAGTCTCCTAGAAGTAGTATTTCTGTTGATTCCTATTTACATCTCTGTTGTTTTTGTTTTATGAATGATCCTGCTCTATTTGGTACATACATATTTTATCTTCAATGTTAACAGCACTCTTTATTTATACGCTTCTTTTTCTGGCTTAATGACTTTTGACTTAAATTTAAACTTGTGCGATAGTAAAACTGTACCCCCCTTTTCTTTTTGTTTACATTTACTTAGTACATATCTTTGCCCGCCCTTTTTGTTTTTCTCAAAAGTTCTGAATCACTTTGTTCTAGGTATATCTTTTGTTTAAAATAGTTGAGGCCAGGTGCGGTGGCTCACACCTATAATCCCAGTACTTTGGGAAGATGAGGTGACCTTGATCACAAGGTCAGAAATTCAAGACCAGCTGGCCAGCCTGGTGAAACCCTTTCTCTACTAAAAATACAAAAATTAGCTAGGCATGGTGGTGGCACCTGAAGTCCCAGCTACTTGGGAGGCTGAGGCAGAAGAACTGCTTGAATCCGGGAGTCAGGGCTTTCAGTGAGCCAAGATCACTGCACTGCAGCATGGGTGACAGAGTAAGACTGTCTCAAAAAACAAAAAGTATAGTTGTGTTTTATGATTTAATGCAAAAGTATTTTCCTTTTAGTATAAAAGTTTAGTTTATTTACATTTATTGATAAAAATCACTTTCTACTTTTTAAAAATTTAGTGTTTATTTTTTTTAGAGGCAGGGTCTCATTCTGTTACCCAGGCTCGGCTGTGGTGGCTCAATCATACCTCACTCTAGTCTCAAACTCCTGGACTTCAGTCTCAAATTCCTGGACTCCAAGGATCCTATGTCTTCTGTCTCTCAGGTAGCTAGGACTACAGCTGTGTACCACCATGCCCAAGTAATTAATTTTTATTTTGTAGAGATGTGGTCTCAACTATGCTACCCGCACTGGCCTTCAACTCCTGGCCTCCACCTATCCTTCTGCCTCAGTGGGTTACAGGTATAATCCACCACACCCAGCCTCTACTTTTTAAAACAGCCATCATACAATGTTCAATTAAGGGCTGGGCCAATATGAATTTTGGAAATAACTTTTAAATTCATTTTCTTTCTCCCAAAGTATTCATTACTCCCATTTAACATTTGCATTTCTGGCTAAAAACCAGAGAAATAATTACTGCATACTGAAAAAAAGAAGAAATCATCCATATGGCACATTGAAGGATATAATGCTTAGATAAGAACTATTCAACAGTACCTCACAATTCAGTATTAAATATTCCTTTTTACAGTGGCAAAGCCATTATGCCTGTATTCTTAGAAGTTGGCCAGGCATCCAACTACTAGTATTCTCCCTTCTGCCATGTTGAGCCATCACATAGATATAGCACACAGCATCCATAAATATAATAAAGACACCCAACCAAATTCTAATTTGAATGCTCTCTAAGAAAACAAAAAGATACACCAACCCAGTGGATGCATTAAAAATATCACATACCTTGCTCCAAGGAGGTTTGCTAGGAACATTAAAGACTCTTTTTCTGCTCCAGCACACTGGCTAAATGATATAACACAATCCTCTAAAGGAGTCATTCCTGTCATTACTGTGACTGGTGTGAAGAGAGGATTCGACTCTGGATCAAACAAAGTCTGATAGTCTATGCAAGTAACCTTTTGAACACAAGAGAAACAGTGAAGCCAATGTGAAATAAGCAACCAGTGGTTAACATTAATTCAGTTACAGGAGCAATACTTTAGTTTTGATAAGAAGAAATTTTACTTTAATAATTAACTTGTGTATGCTCATTCTCAATACATTTCATATCATAATGTTAAAATTACATATACATACACACATATATATAAATTGACTGACTGTATTAGGCTATTAAAATAGTAATATCATTGGAGTTATTGAATGTTGCTTTAAATTTCATTCCTTCCAATGTATTAGTTTATATATGTATTTTTAAGTTTATTCTATTTTTCTCATAATTCTTGAAACCTTAAACAAAAATCCACAGTGAAATTACCAGTGATGCTTTGGTTGTGAGAAAACAAGACTAACAGTGTGAGATGACTCGAGAGAGACCTCCTAAGAAGGAATGTTGCTGCTGTGGCCTCTGGGAAACAGAAACCTCTACTATAGCAGGATTAGGCCCAAGAAGCTTGCACATTTTATTTTAGAATTTCCCTTGCTAAAAGCAAAATCAAGAGTGTTATAATTCAAACACCGATTTACTATAATTGAACTGCCTGAGAAATCAACATTAACCTTGGCATTCAGATATCCTTCAATACCATATTTCAACTGCTACAGTGTTTTCTTACCAGCCACGTATTTGTAACAACTTCTCCCACGGTGGCTTCTACCTTACACCCCAGCAGGGGAACCACAGCATAGTCAGCAACAGTTCTGCTTGGAAGGGACATGATTTTCCCAGCATTTTCTTTTATGATGTTTGCAATGTTAAATTCATTTTCAGTACTAAAACCCAAAACGAGGAAACTCTTTCGGCTAAATAAGCCTTCTTCAGTAACCGTAGAATCATCAGGGAAGCAATGACTGACAGAAGACTGGTTTTCTTCTTGCAAAATGTGAGTAGAATCATTCAAGGGCTCAACATGAGTAGAATCATTAAAGGGTCTAACTTCAAACTTCTCAGCCTCAGACTTCTTACCCTCAACTGAAAGAGAAAAGTAAATGTTTTCTAACAAACAATTTACCTTATAGTTAAAGTTTTACTTCCTAGCAAGAATATTAATGTAACATGGAATCTAAGAATTTTGACTATACTTACAAAACTAAGGCTTATGTGTACCCAGTAAAGAGATATGGATTCACCCTGTCTTCGGGGTTACCAAGAGTCCTATTAGTATTACCATTGTCCATCAGGAAGGACAAGAGTGATCATGTTAGTTCTAGGTATTCCTAGTATAATAGAAACTTGAATTAGTTTAAAATTATATACCTCCAACAGGACTGTCTTAGTTCCAAAATTGGTTTAGATGATTTACCATACAATTAAGAAAATATCATTATGGAGAAAATTAGCAGTTCTAAATGGTTTAACTGTCAAGCCCTTAACAAGAAAATAACTATAAGTGGCTGGCAAATCCTGAAAAATTTATTGTCTCCCCTTTTAGAGAAAAGGTTTGCCATGCTATGCAATTCCAACAAGGCTGGAAGCTATTCAACAATTCATTCTTTCATTTATATAAGCACTGTGACTAAGTGCTTTACATGCATGTAATGCTCACATAATACCAACTGTGAGGCTGATAATATCAGTACATCCCTTTTGTACAAAAGGAGTCTCAGGCTTGAAGAGGTTATGTAACTTGCTACGGTCACACAGTTAAGTGGCAGAAATGAGGTATGAACCAAAGTCTGTCTGACTCCAGAGTTCGTAACACCATTTTATAATGCCATCTTCTTACTTCTATCCTCATCTCCAACAGACACTGGCATTTTCATTTCTTAAGTAAATTACTGTAATAACACATTAGGAACTTATGACTCCTACTGAACATAAGTATTAAAATTGTTCTTATTCACACTAAGGAAGCATAATGTTGTCTAGGGAGTTTACTGATCACTAAGTCAGGAGAGGTGGGTTCTAGTTTTATAGTCTCCTTGACTCTTGGTTTCATATCATAAGGAATAAAGGATAATAGTATATTTACAACTTATAGATATACTCATGAGAATGAATAAGCTTAGATGGAAATAAAGGTGTTGCAACATTGTAAAACATTCCGGAAAGTTTGTTTTTTAACAGTTTTGTTAAAGTGCAAAGGTCTGTTTCATAAGTAAAAACCTTTCTATTTTTTGCAAGTACAACTATTATGCAATCACGTCTAGGAGAAAAAAAATAACTTTGTTCAATGTCTATACTTTGTTGGTAAGATGGGAAGGAGGAAGAAATCCAGTAGAATTTTAGACTACTACTACAAAAACAAAGTAGAAATACTAAGTTCTTATAAACCATTAGTAAAACTCAAGTTATTAAGAGACTCATAATAAACTAACATGTTCTACAGCAGTTCTTTCCATTTATTTTAGTAGTAGGATCTCTTTTCAAACAGATCTCACCAAAAGCCTAAGAGATACTACGTGATAAACCAATCATTCAAAAAGCTCCCCTAAATCAAAAGCAATTTTAAGAATTAATTATAAATACTGTATTATAGCCTTTCTAACATGCTTGGTGATCCACTGAGATTTACTATCATTTCATCCTTATAAAGTCAGTAAACCACTAACCTTAAAGGAAGGTTTAAGAAACTAATCACCTGCCCTACACCAAGTACTACTGGCTGAAGGATAATATATAAAATTGCTGGCTGGGTGCCGTGGCTCACGCCTGTAATCACAACACATTGGGAGGCTAAGGCAGGAGGATCACATGAGGCCAGGAGCTTGAGATCAGCCTGGCCAACATGGTGAAACCCTGTCTCTACTAAAAATACAAAAATTAGCTGGGTGTGGTGGTGCATGCCCGTACGCCCAGCTACTCAGGAGGCTGAGGCAGGAGAATCGCTTGAACCCAGGAGGTGGAGCTTGCAGTGAGCCAAGATTGCACCACTGCACTCCAGCCTAGGTGACAAAATGAGATCTTGTCTCAAAAAAAAAAAAACTGCTTTCAGTTAATTTGTGGCTTCTTTATAGCAGAGCATCCTGGAAAATTAGGATGATCTTCTGATGAGATACAATACTAAAGCATAAGTAAATTGTTTGAGAAAAGTCAATTTTGGAATATGGAAATGGTATACATAAAAAAGGAATGGTAGGAATTTCCTCTCTAGAAATATGGTAGGCTAGAGCTCTGAAACCCTCTCACTTAAAAAAACACTTCAAAATACAGGATAAAATATTAGAATCCAGATCACTAAGTGGTTACTAAATCCAGAACATTAAGTAGTTACTAAAGCTAATGGTTAGTCAAAATCTATTATATTTTTGTGTAGCACCCAGACCCTTGGGATATAAGGGCATCACACAAGAGACAGGAGCCAATCTTTTGGTTTCATAAAAATTAGAGGTGAAGCAGAATCTACACCTTGAGAGAACAAACCCAAAACCCCTGAAGGGACATATCTTTAGTAAACAGACCAAAACCAACCAACCAACCAACCAACCAACCAACCAACCAACCAACCACAAATCTGCCTTGCAAAGGAAGAGGTCAAGAACACTGGCTTTGGGTCAAGAAGGAAAAACAGCTCTCCTGAGAATTTGTTCATCAGAGGCTGGTCCTCAAAGTAGCTTTGGGTATAAATTCATGCTAGTGGGATGATCTAAGAAACCTCCAGTCAATAAACCAACTAAGAGGTGTACTGAGTTTGTCAACTCCTAGGCACCTAGCAGACCCAAACATGAACCTTTTCTGGGGGAACAAACACCTACCCCATTTCTTAGAAATCCTAGAGTCCTAGGTAAGTACAAATTCACAATAAAAATCACAAAACACAAGAAAACCAGGCACCATAAACAATCACCAACAGAACAATTAGGATAGTTCAGTAAGTTTCACATGTTTCAAGAAATAAAGAACAAAAAATACAAATACAAAATGACAGGCTTGGTCGAGTGTGGTGGCTCACACCTGTAACCCCAGCACTTTGGGAGGCTGAGGTGGGAGAATCACTGGAGCCCAGGAGTTCAAGACTAGCCCATCTCAATTTTTAAAAGTAAAAAAAAAAAAAAGAAATGACAGACTATTTAAAAAGCTAAAACTCCTAGGAATTGAAAAATTAAATTATTAAAACAGAAAATTTAATGGATAGGCAAAACAGATTAGGCAGTAGCTACAGAGATGATCTGTGATCTGGAAAAAAGTCTGAGGTAATTACACATAATAAATCACAGAAAAACAAAAAGATGGAAGATAAGGACAGGTTAAGTGACCCATAGACAGAGCAAACGGGAGTTAAAAGAATATACAGAGTAGGGGAGAAGCAATATTCAAAGAGATAATAAACATTTCTCGACCTAACAAAAAGCAAAAAATGTACTAATTCTCAGATTCAGAAAGCACAATGAATCTCAAGCAGGACAAATAAATGTTAAAGCTCCAGGACATAAAAACCAAAAGAAAGATTAAAAATAGCCAGAAGATAAAGACATATTATTTGTAAAGGAATGACAGACTAACATCTGACTTCCTATCCAGCAGTCAGGGAAACAGATGACAATGAAATACTATCTCTGTGCTTAAACAAAGTAAATGTCTAGAACTGTATACCCAGCTCAGGAGTCTTCAGAGAAACTAAAGGAGTTTCTAAAGGATATTATTTTAGGAAGAAAGTAAATGATTCCAGAAGAGAGGTCTCAGATGTAAAAACAATTGAGGACAGCAAAGAAATAGGTAAACATGTTAGTAAATGAAACAGATATTTACCCTATAAAAGGACGATAATGCCTAACTGTGAAATTTTAAAAGATGATGAAAATACTAGACAAAATCACATAAGCTGAATATGTTGATGAGCAGGGAGAGGAAGCAGGGCTAGCTGTGATCATTAAAGTACTCTAGGCCTGGTGTGGTGGCTCACGCCTATAATCCTAGCTCTATAGTGGATCACCTGAGGTCAGGAGTTTGAGACTAGCCTGACCAACGTGGAGAAACCCCATCTCTACTAAAAATACAAAATTAGCCGGTGTGGTGGCATATGCCTGTAATCCCAGCTACTCGGGAGGTTGAAGCAGGAGAATTGCTTGAATCCAGAAGGTGGAGACTGCAATGAGCCAAGATCGCACCACTGTCCTCCGGCCTGGGCAACGAGAGCAAACTACCACTTCAAAAAAAAAAGTATTCTAAGGTTCTTGTTTTATTCAAGAAATAGATTAAAATTCTGATTAGATTTTAAGTTATGATACATATTAAATTTATTGAAATTAATATTTTTGGCTATATATTTCATAAAGTCTTTTCTTAATAAAAAAGAAGCAATGCTGTTTATAATGCTTCACTGGCAATTTACCTTACTACAAGATAAGAGTACATGCTGAGGTGGTAGTCCACAGTGCAGTGTTTCATGCATTAAAGACCACGATAATCCAGTAAGAGGCATTTGTTACAAGGTTTTAATAAAAGGCTCATGCTACTACAAACACACAAATCAATCAATTCCTGTATATATAACAAACCAAAACAGAGCTAATTAGCTGAAGACAGGAAAGATGGTTAAAGGGTTCAGGGCCCTATTGTCTTACCCACTCCGAAAAAAAGTTATAAGCAAAATTTTAAGGAAAGAAAAAGGTTAATTTAACTTAAAATCTAGATAACTTGGCAGAGATCACACATATATGTGTTAGGTTACTAAAATAATTCTTACTAACTACAAATACTAACCAAATATTTCTTACCTACTGTAGAGCTATCATTTTCATATTGAGAGAGCAGATCTTCATCAGCTTGCTCATGCTTTTCACTAGGAGTAAAGTCTTTCTTAGAGAAGCTGCTGTTCTTCTTTTTTAAAACAGCTGCTTTAATTTCAGGCGGATCTGAAACTGGAATTTCCACTGGCTGGTAATTAGCACGGATATATGGTTCTTCAGAAAGCATATAACCTTTACTGAAACACTCTAGCAACCACTTTGCTCCCACTACATGAGGCCTACAAAAATAGCACATAGTTATGTATTACTGCAAGCTATAAAGACCATCAACCCACTTGTCATGCAGTTTCCATAACTGCATGAATATGCAATTTTAAGAAACATTATGTAGTAGAAATTGCTTTGAATTAAAAAATGAAAAAAACCTGTGCGCCGATTTATTCCAAAACTGCTTCAATTCATCATCATAATCTCCCACAATAACATGAGTTACATCTTCATTAAGCTGGTTAAAACGAACTCCACCTCCACTGTTAATAAGTCTTCTCAGTTTATCTAGCTTTCTGCCACTAAAACCGCAAAGATATATCTGCAAGAAAGAAAATATTTCATATATTTAATATGTTTTCTCTCAATGGAAAAAACCTAAAAATAAATATCTAAATTCATTGTGTATAAACAAGACAACTTGTGTACATTTAAGATACATGAATAAATGCATTCTAAAACACATGAATAAATGCATTCTAAAACTTTTGATTTTTTTTTTGAGATGGAGTTTAGCTCTTGTTACCCAGGCTGGAGTGCAATGGCACGATCTCAGCTCACCGCAACCTCTGCCTCCTGAGTTCAGGCAATTCTCCTGCCTCAGCCTCCTGAGTAGCTGGGATTACAGGCACACACCTGTGCCCAGCTAATAACTTTTGATTTTTTAACAGTTCTGCAACTTTGATTTTTTTTTTTAAGACGGGGTTTCACCATGTGGGTCAGGCTGGTCTTGAACTCCCGACCTCAGGTGATCCGCCTGCCTTGGCCTCCAAAGTGCTTGGATTACAGGCGTGAGCCATTATGCCCAGCCACAACTTTGATTTTTTCATCACTTTTCACAATCTCATATGCATTATTATCTTTCACAGTGGATACCTGATACATATTTTGAGGCTATAAATAAAGTAGAAGCCAGATTCCAACATCTTCTAAATATTAGTGCATACCAATTTTTAAAATGCAGGTAACTTCTTTAACTGTGAAAGTCTCACTATCTGTAAAGTTTAAAGTAATTTTAATACTAAACTTTAGGCAGGGTGCGGTGGCTCACAGCTGTAATCCTAGCACTTTGGGAGGACGAGGAGAGCAGAATGCCTGAGCTCAGGAGTTTGAGACCAGCCTGGGCAACACAGCGAAACCTCACCTCTACTGAAAATACAAAAAAATTAGCTGGGTGTGGCAGCATGCACCTATAGTCCCAGATGCTCAAGAGGCTGAGACAGGAGAACTGAACCCGGGAGGCGGAGGTTGCAGTAACCCAAGGTTGAGCCACAGCACTTCAGCCTGGGCAACAGAGCGAGACTCCGGCTCCAAAAAAAAAAAAGTAACTGTAATTAACTGTCTGAAATCAGAACACCAGGGCTTAAATTGTGGGTCTTTTTGGGTGGGGGTTTCAACTGCCAATGATTAACAATATGACAATAGGCAAGTTGCTTAAGCTCTTTAAACCAATTTTCTTAACTATAAATTCATGTCACCTTATTCACAGAATTGCTTGAACAAAAAAATATATATGTCAAAGAACTGAACACAATGCTCTGAGGATAACATGTATGCAATAATTTATTTTTAACCATGAGGATGCATATATTTAAGCCAATTTAATCAATATTTTAATCAAAATCTTTTCACCTCTATTTTACCTAAGGTGCCCTTAAAAAAATTTTAAGTATGACAAATCTATTCCAAACTGCATTTACACCCCAAATTAAATCACCCCCATTACTAGATTGTATTTTAACAGATATTTGGAATCATATACTTCCTATATGTAAGAAACAATTAAAAGTCATATCTAGATTATTAGAGTCTAGCTAGGCTAAAAGATCATACAAAACATCTCTAGGCCAGGCACAGTGGCTCATGCCTGTAATCCCAGAACTTTGGGAGGCTGAGGTGGGCAAACCACTTGAGGTCAGGAGTTCAAGACCAGCCTGGTCAATATAGTGAAACCCCATTTCTACTAAAACTACAAAAATTAGCTATGCACGGTGGCACACACCTGCAATCCCAGCTACTTTAAGAGACTAAGATAGGAGAATCACTTGAACCTAAGAAGTGATGAGCAGTGGGCTGAGGTAATGCCACTGTGCTCCAGCCTGGGTGACAGTCTCCATCTCAAAACAAAAAAAAAAACCCAGCTTTTGTTTAGCCAGTAAGTTGGTAAGTTTAAAAAAAACAAAAACAGTTAAGGTAATTTGCCCAATTTCCCTTAACAATAAGGTAGGGTTACATTTTTGCTACTCTGAAAACAAATGCAGAGCCAAGTCATTCTACAAATAGGAATACGTTAAGAATTCCAATCTAAGACAGCTGAAAAAGCACAGCATATGATGTTTCCATCAATAAACTTACAAGACAGTTATTCACATACTAAAAAATTAAAATAACCCACAAAATACCAAACAAAGCAGTGGCTCTAATGGTGAGGAATATGAACTTTGAGGTAGATGACTGGCTACTTAATGTGTCTCTCTGTGTGACTCTGAACAAGAATTTTAACTGAGTCTTACCCTCAAGATAATATCCACTTCAGAGTTATTTGTGGGAATTAAATGAGATTATATATAACATATTAACATACATAAAATTATTAGGATGGTGTCTAATACACTGTAAATACTTAAATGATAGTTATTAATAAAAGTCCAAACCTGGGAAACACAGTAAGACCTTGTCTATACAAAAAAATTTAAAAATTAGCCAGGTGTGGTGGCACATGCCTGTAGTCCTAACTGCTTGGGAGACTGAGAGATGGCTGATGCCCAGGAGTTTAAGGTTACAGTCAGCTATGATTGTGCCACTGCATTCCAGCCTGGGCGACAGAGTGAGACCCTATTTCAAATAAATAAATAAATCCAGTAAGTCATTCAGAAACGAAGTGCTCTCAAAACATAATAGATGGAAAGATTAATGTAGTTAGGAGTGTTCAGAGAATAATTAAAAACTGAAATAAACTTCTAAAAGATAACAGAGGAAGATGACTCACAGAGCAACTCTCACAGCCAAAGGAGGATATGTCTAGTAAGTGCATCTACTTAGCTAGAGAGGAGGGTTTACATAGATAGTAAGGAGCAAGCCCAACTCTGAAGATTCTTCGGAGTCGGGTTAGGAAATGCTAATGTATATCATCACTTACTACATGTATTATATAATAAGGACGTACCCGACAACCATCTAATAAATCTTCAGGTGCGTGAAATGCACTCACATCCAGATTTTCCAGATTTTCAAGGGTAGCCTCCAGTTTGCTGTTAAGTGAATTACATATCGACTCACTTATGCAACTTGCATTTATGTTGGAAATATTGCTGACATCTGAAAGAGTACGACCTACATATTTTGAAAACATGTATAAATTTATGGGAGATAAAATAATCGTAATTACATATTGTCTATGAATTAACTTTTCTTACAAATAAAGGGCAATAAACAACTTCCAAAGTAAGATGCAGGTATGTTTACTAAAATCTTAGTGGAAAAGTATAAAAAGGAAAATGAAATTAATTAGGCCTCATATCTTATTTAAATGAAAACAAGACACATTTTCTTAATAGTGTCTTGTTTCCCATAAAAATCTGAATTTGCTGACTTTAAGGTCCAAGAAGCTCACATTTGAAAAGACTTTTAACATTGTGCCAAAACGACACCTACAAAATAGAAACTGTTTTAATTTTTATACAAATACAGATGATTTATAACAATTGCAGCAAAATCATAAACTAAGGAAATATATTAATATTATATATTTAATATACATTAATTATATCAATATTAATATATAAATTATATATAAAATTATATATATAAGTATTAATATATGCATGTCCATAAATTTTATCTTAAGCCTCTATCTACTATTGTTCTTAATTTATTTGATCATCTTTTGCATGACATCAGGGTATAAAAGAAAGCAATTATTCATTCTAAAAAAAATTAGGAGCAGTTCAGTACTAACTTTTTATACAATTTGACTACTATACAATTAGGTTTAGAAGCATAGCAAACAAGAAAGAAAAATTCCCTATCTCAGTGATCCTATTAATATACTGATTATTATACAGAAACGATTGTCTTTAGAATGATGATTTTAATTTCAATGAGACTCACTATCAATTGTGTTGATCTGGCCAGTAGGAGTTGAAGAATTGGGCATAGTCTTTGCTTCTGGTCTTGGTTCTGTCTTGTACATGGATTCATCCTGACAAAAACCTTTTTCAACACTGTCAAAAAACCACTGCGTGGTCACACAGTGTACATTCCATCTCTTGGCACATTCATATTTCTGACCTGCAGTGTTCATTAAGAAACAAAGAGAGGAAATAGAGAAATGAAAATCATTAAAATCTATCTTTGCAGAAGTATTCAGATTATAACAGGTTACTTAATTTTAATTTTTGTTTGTTTTTGAGACAGAGTCTTGCTCTGTTGTCCAGGCTGGAGTGCAGTGGCACAATCTCAGCTCACTGCAACTTCTGCCTCCTGGATTCAAGCGATTCTCCTGCCTCAGCCTCCTGAGTAGTTGGGATTACAGGCATGTGTCACCACTCCCAGCTAATTTTTAAATACTTTTAGTACAGACAGGGTTTCAGCATGTTGGCCAGGCTAGTCTCAAACTCGACCTTGTGATCTGCCGGCCTCAGCCTCCCAAAGTGCTAGGATTACAGGCATAAGCAACAGCTCCTGGCTCCCAGACGTAACAGGTTATTTTAAAAACCTATCAACCAAATTGAAGTTACCAGTACTTACTCTTAAACAGTATGCTACATAGTTTATTGCAAAGTAGTACTTTAGTTTATTGCCTAATTAAATTTTCTATGTGTTGTATAAATACACATGCCATGTGAGGGGGTTTATCTCTTATACAAACTGCAGGAAGACAGGAGCAACTGTGGGGTAACAATATTGGACTTTGGTTTGCATTTAGGCTCCATCACTTAATTCCTTTAAACAAGCTTGTATAATGTGAAAATTGTAAATGTGTGTAATATAATAAATCCCAATTTTGAACACTGGGATTCCAATGTCAACAGGCTTCTACTTAAAGTCCAGGATAGATAAGCCAATAGATAAATTATGTTAAAAATATGTATCTTTTTATTACCTTAAAAACCTTTAACACAATGTATTTTGAAGCAGTATCACAGAGAAACTGAAGTCTGTATGTCACATGAAAGGTTTTCTGGCATTCTTGATAATCAACAGTGAACTGTCTTCAGATTCAGAAAAAGAACAGCTGTATCAACTCTACTCACAATCATCCTATCACAATTGGCCATACCCAAACTTCTGACTTAAGGACAATTACCATTTAACCTTAATTACTTCTCAGTCTAGAAAACTTAGTAAAACACAGTACACATATATATAGCAATAACAAAAACATTAACAAAATTCATCTTTTATCAATTTGCGTGTATTTTAAGAGTGCTGATAAAAAGTTATCCAGAATAATGTTATGGAACACCAAATTTAAAAACAATTTTAAAGAATTTTTCTTGGTTGGTAATGTCTTTTTCATTTACTGCCTCATGTTCTCCAAGGCGTGTCTTCCAGTTATAACTTGTAGCCCATTCAGTCAAACTGAAACTAAGTCAAGCCTTTCGTCATTACAAAGAAATGCCATTTAGCTATATTTATTAGTTTTCTTGTTATTTACCCAAACTTCTTTTCATTATTTGGTAACTGTGTGAGGAATATTTTTTTTAAATCAAAAGATACCAAAGTAAGCTTACATAAAACATCACTAAAAGGTTTTGGTTTTTTTAGTACTTATTAAATGACACGAATAAATACGAGAAAAGTCATATAGTTTAAGATTGTGACCCAAACGACTTCTGCAAGATGTTAGGTAAAACGGTATCAAACTAGATTAATGACATGTCAGAAGTAAAAGCTGTTCTGTAAGATTTTAAAATATTAAATACTAATGGCTGGGCACGGTGGCTCATGCCTGTAATCCCAGCACTTTGGGTGGCTGAGGCAGGTGGATCACTTGAGGTCAGTTAGAGACCAGCCTAGCCAACAGGTGAAACCCCATCTCCACTAAAAATACAAAAATTAGCCAGGTGTGGTGGCAGGTATCTGTAACCCCAGCTACTTGGAAGGCTGAGGTGGGAGAATTGCTTGAACCTGGGAGGCGGAGGTTGCAGTGAGCCGAGATTGCACCACTGTCCTCCAGCCTGGGCAATAGAGCAAGGATCTATTTTTAAAAATAAAATACTAACTCACAGAGAAAATGTTTCATGTGTCCATTTGTGAAACACAGTTTTACCTTTTGGTTCTTGCACAATGAGGTGTGTACATTCATTCATTTTCAATTGTCCCATGTATTGACCTCCATGCTTAACTGTGAGTTGCTGAACTTCCTTCCGGTCTAAGCCACTTAAACCAGTCACACAGATTATGCAACCAAGAAAAATAGGACACTTGAAATCTTCCATGTTTATATCAGTATATCTACTTATTTTTCTGTGGGAATCAAATGGATAAAAAGAATACATTTACCATAGTTTTAAATTTACTAGAAGAATAATGACAACATCACAAATATCACTACTGTTTTCCTCATTTTTTTAGGATTTATAACCATTTTTTTAAAAAGGAGAACCACCAAACAGAGTAACACCAATTGCTCACCTAGCTCAATAACAGGTTTTAATACAAAGTAATTATTTCAGATACAGTCTCTCAAAACTGTTTTAAGAGAAAAATATACATTTTCTTAACTCTAAGCCCTTGCTGGTTAAAGTGGTATATTTTCCAAAATTCTACATCTGAATCTCTATTTAAAAACCCAAAGTTACTTTGGTTGCCTATTAGAAAAATAAACTTTTTAATCTTTCCATTATTCTGTATAAATAAAAGCAATGACTTTTGGCAAAATACCAACAAAAATGTCATTATTCTGTTGCCATGCTAGGCAGATGTGCTGAAGTAATCACACTGGGAATGAGAGTTGCTGACATGGAGACATTTAGGATTTGCTGGATGGTGTTGAAAACAAGCCCAGAAAAATGCTGATACAATTCGTATGCCAATAGAATTCCGTGGTATTTGGTCTTGTGGTTGTTTATCTAGTTTCAGGGGAAATTTAAGTGTGCCCCTTGAAATAGGCTCTAAGCTCCATGAGGGAAGGGACGTTACCTTGCTTTGCTTACTACATGTATCTAATGCCTAGCTCAGGTCAGATACATAAAACAGGCTCAGTTAACACTGATTAAATGATCACATCTCAGCTGATGACTTATATACGTTTATATTAAACCTTACATATGCCCCCTTTGGGAAGGAATGTAACTGCCAACATGGCTAATTTATTCTCTATCTTTATATATGGGAATGGTGTTGAAGGATGATACAACATAAAAGCTAAAGATTTGCCAAACTGGTTTTCTCTATTATTTCAGAAACATTTACAGCTGGGAACTTTATCATCAAAGCATTTTTTACTCTGTAACTACTGCTAACCCCTTAGCCCATTCTATAATGCCTGTCAACTTTTATCTTGGTAATGAGAGCATGCAAATTCTGCTCTTCTGTTTTCGCTGGAGAAGAAGAGTAATGACACTATTTTTTTCCCTAAATAATAAATCCAAAGAGTATATCGCATGCCAAAAATGATTGAATGCATCATTTTTTCAAATCTAGAAAATATAAAAATGTCTTACTTCTCTTGTGACTTCTCCCAAAGTGTTTTTATCCAAGAGGGAAGCAAAATAGGTTTCTTCAGGTTTGCAGCAACTAAATATTTTTTGCTACCAACTTCTCCTGCAATAAGGTGAGTTACTGATATGTTAAGGTCTCTGTATACTCGTCCGCCCATCATGTGTACATATCTATGAACTTCTTCCTGCAGCCCAAAAAGAGAATACATTAATACTAATGCAAACAATATTGCTTCCATTTTTATACACCATATCAAAAATACATTTTGCTTTTGATAGTTTAAATACATAAATGTCACACATAATTACAGTTAAATAATTAACCAAATTATTTTTTGGAAGATAAATACGGATTATATTTAAAAAACATTTTCCTATATTTATCCCTTCCAACTCAATGAGTGTATAAAACTATTATACAAAGGATATATAATCTTTGCTTCTCTATATTTTAATATACATGTGTATTTTTAACAACATAAATTATATCTATATAATATATAAATATATATTTTTAGCCAGACTTAGTGGTGCATGTCTGCAGTCCCAGCTACTCCGGAGGCTGAGGCATGAGGATTACTTGAGCCTAGGAGATCAAGGTTGTAGTGAGTTGTGATTGTGCACTGCACTCCAGCGTGGGTGACAGAGTTAAGACCCTGTCTCAAATATATATATATGTACTTCTATGGCTCTCTCTTAGAATCCTTTTTATTCTTTTTTTTGGAGACAGAGTCTCGTTCTGTTGCCCAGGCTGCGGTGCAGTGGTGTGATTCTTGGCTCACTGCCACCTCTGCTTCCCTAAGTCAAGTGATTTAGAATCGTTTTTTTAAGGACTATCCACCAATAGTGGAAAAATCTAAGTGATTAAAAAATGAGTGTCTTTTTAAATTAAAACAAAAAAATTTCAATTAGCCAGTTTTCAACAAAAATTCCACTATATTCAATTTATTTAAAAAATGTGTGTATACATTGCCATGTATTTACCGATGCAACAATCCTGCATGATCTGTACGTATACCCCAGAACCTAAAGTACAATTTAAAAAGTGTGTATATATGTATAAATATATATATACACACATTACATATTTATATAAATATATACATATATACACAACTGTGGTTGTAAATTGAACTTTGTTAAAAAGTCATGAACAATAAGTGGAAGGTCTTTTAAGTTATCTTCTATGCAGTGAAAAATTAAGTATGAGAAGAGATAGATTGATCATTCATGATGAGGTCAACACCTACCCTTTCTTCTTTTTCCAGACTTGTACAAGATATTGTTACATCAGACATAACCATATTATAAACTGGATGTTCGGCTCTTGGGACACATCGCTGGTGGTGCATACAAAATATGACTACTTGAGGACCAACGATTCTGCAGCCAAGCTACAAAAAAGAGAAAAGTTTAAATGAGGTAAGAAGGAAAAGACCAACAGTGTTACAAAATTATGTTTTGTAACATTTACCAATTCTTTACCAAAGTTGATGAGCACTGTAGAAAAATCAGCAAATTGGAATAAGAAAAAAATAAAGATTACATAATTTATCAGATATACCATACACTAAACACACACAAAAGCAAACCAAACAATGCAAGCTATCAAAAGAAATAAACTTCAGGTCAGGCACAATGGCTCACACCTGTAATTCCAGCAGTTTGGGAAACCAAGGTGGGTGGATCACCTGAGGTCAGGAGTTCGAGACCAGCCTGGCCAACATGGTAAAACCCCATTTCTACTAAAACTCCAAAAATTAGCTAGGCGTGGTGGCAGGCGCCTGTAGTCTCAGCTACTAGGGAGGCCGAGGCAGAAGAATTGCTGAACTCAGGGGGCAGAGGTTGCAGTGAGCCGAGATCACGTCATTGCACTCCAGCCTGGGTGACAGAGTGAGAACCGGTCTCAAAAAAAAAAAAAAAGAAAAATAAACTTCAAGAGCCCCTTTCACTCAAAACTGCCTTAGTGCTTACACCTGTAAGCCCAATACTTTGGGAGGCTGAGGTGACAAGACCACTCAAGCCCAGGAGTTCAAGACCAGCTTGGACAACTTCAAGAAACCCCGTCTCTACTAAAAATACAAAAATTAGCCGGGTGTGGTATTAAACATCTGTAATCCCAAATATTTGGGAGATTAAGGCAAAAGAATCACTTGAACCTGGGAAGCAGAAGTTGCAGTGGGCCAAGATCAGGCCACTACATTCCAGCCTGGGCAACAAAACAAGACTGTCTTAAAAAAAAAAAAAAAAATGCCTATTGTAACAAAATTAGCCTTTCAATCCTGGTCTTCCCAAACCAAAAGAATTCCAATGTACTCCTAAGCTGCATAATACCTCATGATCAGTAAAGAATATATGACCACTGAAGCAAAGATAAACCAAAAAACAGAGTATCAAAGGAACACATTAGAAGTTAGCAAACCTTTTTGAGGTGATTAAAGACAATGCCACTAAAAGGGTCACAGATATAAAGTGATCTATCATTCTCCTTTATTTTCAATGCCTCTTCTTCTGTAATGATCTGAAGATATTCTTCTGATTGGAATTCTTTTATTGACTGAAAGAAAAAATAAGAATGTACCTGAAATTAGTCCCCTGTATTTAGGTCCTATTGAAATTCCATCTCAAATCCAGCCTTTTACCTATTGAAAGCCACCATCACATCTCACCTACACCTCTGCAGAAGCCTCCCAAGTGGTTTCTTTCTCCTTTCCTTGCCCTAAATCTGTTCTCTACACAGCAGCTAACAATCTTTTAAAAAATACAAGTCAGACCATGTCATTCTCTGCTCAAAACCTAATGTTTATCCACCACACCCAGAATAAAATCCACATTTCTTGCCATGACCTTCAAGATAACACAGTGTGGCTCTTGCCTATCTCCCCACCTTTACCTTCTACTTCTCATCTCTCTTGCTTACTCCAGCCACTCCTGCTTTCTTGCCAATCCTGGAAGAAGCCAACCATAAGCTCATTTAGAGGCTTTGCTCTTGATCTTTCAGCAGGGAATACTCTTTTCCCAGGTTTTCACCTGACATTCCCCACTTCAATCAGGTGTACTTAAATGTCACCTCCACAGAGATGCCTATCCTAATCATGCTTTCTCAAATACCCTTCCCCTACCCTTTTAGTCTATTTTATTTAAAAAATATATATGTATATATTTTATAAATATATGTAGTTTTTGTCTCTCTCCCCTGGAAGTTTCATTTTGTATTGTTTGCTACTATATCCTGACACCCAGTAAGCCCTCAAAAATTTTCTGAACCAATTTTGAAGTCCTTACTTTAATACAAGAAACCTTTCAAAACTGTAAGTCAGATCATGTCTACTCTTCTGATTAAAACCTTCCAATGGCTCTCCATTTCACTGAGAGAAAAATGGCCCACAGGGCCCTACATGACTTCTTTATCACTATTCTCTGAAGCATTCCTTAGTACTCGTCCCCCATCCCTCACTCACTATACAACAGTACACTAAACTTGGACAGAGACTACAGACACTTTCCCAGAGGCTGTATAACGTCGCTCCCTCTGCCTGAAACATTTTTCTCCAAATACCTGCAAGGCTATCTCATCTCCTTTACGTTTACTCAAATATCCTTTACTCCATAAAGCCTTCCCTGATCACATTCTTTTTTTTTTTTTTTGAGGCATTCGCTCTTGTGACCCAGGCTGGAGTGCAATGGCGAGATCTCAGCTCACCGCAAACTCCGCCTCCTGGGTTCAAGCAATTCTCCTGCCTCCACCTCCCGAGTAACTGGGATTGCAGGCACAGACCACCATGCCCAGCTAATTTTTTGTATTTTTAGTAGAGACGAGGTTTCACCATGTTGACCAGGATGGTCTCGATCTCTTGACCTCGTGATCCACCCGCCTTGGCCTCCCAAAGTGCTGGGATCACATTCTATTTAAGATTATAACACTCTCTTCTCCTCACCCCCAAAAAACATCTTCTGGAACCCCTTAACCTGGTTTGCTTTTCTTCCTAATTTATCACGTCTAGTGTCTATTTCCTCCTGCTAGAATATAAGCTCTGAGAGAACAGAAATCTTTGCCTGTTCTCATCACTGATGTATCCCAAGACTAAAGAAATGCCTGTCAAATCATAGACTCAATAAATATTTGCTGAAGTTGAAAAAAAAAATCTGCTACAAATAGTTCTCAAACTTTAATGCACGCTGAAGATATTGTTAAAAATGCAGATTATAATTGATAAATCTGGGTTGGAGCCCAAGAATCTGCATTCCAGGACATGCTGATACTCCCGTGATCTGTGAAAAGCAAGGTTCTACATCACCCCTACTATCATCCAATTATTATGCTGTACATAATAAAACATAACTTTTAACAATTAACCAAAAAAATTTGAGCTATGACCAGTACACTAGTGACTCAAATTTTTACAGCATGTTAAGGACCACTCTGGTTAGGAGACAAATGAAAGCAACTTAATTTCCAGGAACTGCAGGTCACCCATATTAAACAGCAATGTGGAATAGACTTCGAACCCCATGAAACACATAATGATGTACTTAGATCAATTCAAAAATATGTAACAATATCTGTATTAATGTAGACTAAAAATTATGAAAGTGAAACATCTACTTCTAAGACATAATGCCCAACAAATCAAAAACCCTTAAAAACAAGGAAATTAATTCGCGGTATTAAGACGTTTTCAACTCTTACCTCGAGAGCTTTAAAAAAACATTTGGAATTGTCTGAAGACTTTAAAAACTTCACAAAAAACGGTTCTTTGTCATTTCTGGACATTTCTGAACTGTCAAAGGAACCATTAACAAGAACAAAACCACATTAGGTATAAAGTTGCATGTTTAACCCACCTATTTTTCTGTGCAGACAAGAATGCCTAAAGATAGACATTCCAGCTCTGCCCAGAATGAATTCATCAAAGGCATTTGTTAAGAAACCCTGGAATGTGGGCAAAGTCAAGGAAAAAGATGACAACACCAATCCTTGCAAATCAGAGAGCAAAATTAATGTTCTCGAATTGAATACATTGAGGAGGGCCCTGCTATGACGGCTCTAAGCTCTTTAGGGACATTCAATTGTCAGTGGACACTCAACTGCACTTGTTTTAAGGATACACAGAGTGCATCTGTCCCTGCGGATGCCCACGGCCTGCGAGGTTCGTTCATCCCTCAGTTAAAAGGATTTTAAATATAAACAATGAAGCCAGTTAGCATGGTCGTGCCCCCGCGTAAGGCTAGATGATCCGGTTCCCAGCTCCAGGAAAAGGCCCGGCTTTGGGATCAGGGAAGCCACATCCTCTCGGCGTCAAAGGCCTACCCGCAGGTCCCAGAGCCAGTTACCAGGCCAGGAAAAGAGGGCCCCGAAGGCCACACAATGCATCGCGAACCCCAGTTGGGGCCGGAGTCCCCACTCCGCGCCTCATTTACCTCGTTGGAGCCTGGGGGTCTCCGGGCGGCGAGTCGGGGGACGCGCTGCCCTCAGAACTGTGACTGGGGTAGGGCGCCAGCCCGGCGCACAGCTCCCTCCCCCGACTCGGCGCCGCCCCTAGCCCAAAGGAAACGCTAGCGACCCCGGAAATTGCCGAGAACTGGAACCGACTTTCGCGCCAAGCGCGAGGCCTCGCTCGCCTTTTCCGGCGGAAGTGACTCCGTCATCAGCTGCGCCAAGAGGGCGGAAATGTCAAAAGTAGAGGTGGGCGGTCTGTAGGCGGTGGGGTTCCAGGGAAAGCTTTGGTGGGTTTCAGGGTTGAGGGCTTTGCTGGGTCGGGCCTAGTCTCCGCTGCAAGTAAGCCCAGCTCCGTCGGTTCACGGTTCAGAAGGTAGGATCACAGGCCAGGAATACTCTTTTAGTATTAAAAGAAAAGCCAGGGGCCGGGCGCAGTGGCTCACGCCTGTGATCACAGCACTTTGGGAGGCCGAGGCGGGTGGATCACGAGGTCAAGAGATCGAGACCATCCTGGTCAACATGGTGAAACCCCGTCTCTACTAAAAATACAAAAAAATTAGCTGGGCACGGTGGTGCGTGCCTGTAATCCCAGCTACTTGGGAGGCTGAGGCAGCAGAATTGCCTGAACCCAGGAGGCGGAGTTTGCGGTGAGCCGAGATCGCGCCAATGCACTCCAGCTTGGGTCACAAGAGCGAAACTCCGTCTCAAAAAAAAAAAAAAAAAAAAAAAGCCAGGGAAAGGATTTCCTCAATAGATATTTTACACTTGCCTTATACCAGGCATGCGTGGGACGTATTATCCAAAACAATTCCATGAGGCAAACAGTGGTAGACGTATTTTGCAGATGTAAAAACGGAGGAAGTCAAATGATGGCTTCAAGGTTGCACAGCTAGTAAGTGGTAGAATTAAGAGTGCATCCAGGTCTTTTGACTATGGACTGGGTGGTTTCCTCCAACATAGCAGGAATAGAATCACTACCGGACACAACCACAAGATGGCAAGGGAAGAAAGGATGACTTACTGTACAGCAAATGCAAAGAGATCTTTGCCAAAATCTGCAGTGGTCTCCCCTCCTCCTCACCTTCTATGGACCTTTCCGTTTTCTTTCTCTCCATCTGCCTCAGTACTGGGGAGATTCTGTGACTGAACGTAAGGTTCAAATGGCAAAGAGCAAAGGGAGAGGGGGTAAAATGGGGCTGCAAAACCTTAGCTCAATGATAACCAGTGGTAAACTGTTTATTTGTTGCTTCTTTTCATTTTATTATTAAAAAAAATTTTTTTTTCATTCTTGACTGCTGAGATTGAGAAAATGACTTTGGATTTACTAATGTAAAAGTATAATGCCATGTCCCTTGCTTGTTTTTCTCTTTTCTTTTTAGAGCCTAAAGATAGTAATGAGTAGCTTGAGATTTAAGTGTTTGAATACATCAACGGAAGGCGGCAAAGATTCTTTGCTTGGCCAAACTTTAGTCAGACTCCTGAAACTTCTCGTAGGTTTATCTGTGCATTTCCTTGGAAAATCCAGTTAGAACCCTCCACTCCGAATATCTGATCAGGCTCCTCATCCTCTGCCATCCCCAGCTGATGTCTGATCAGCTTGACCTATTTTCAGCAAGAAACCCCTTTACTCCTGAAGTTAATTCTTAGTTATTTTCCATCCAGTGACCCCAGGCTCCTGTTCCTTGGCTATAAATTCCCACTTACCCATGCTGTATTCAAAGTTGAGCCCACTCTCTCTCTCCTAATTCAGAATCCCATTGCCATGGTTGCTATACATATTCCTGATGGTCCTGAATAAAATCTGTCTTACTGTGCTTTAATAAGAATCATTGATTTTTTTCTTTCCAAAATAAGTCAGAATCAGTAACACTGGGGCTCAAAGGTAAAGGCCTATTGCTGGGGGAAGGGTGAAAAAAGCCTTAAAAACAAAAAATAAAAATCACTAGAGGTGGGGGAAAAAAGAAACCACAGTTAATTGTTAAGGTGCAAATCTGACCTGAATTTGTAATCATTATTTCTAAGGTACTTTATAGTTAACATGGGACTCCTGCTCACACTATTCCAGGTTACTCTTCCCAGCAACCCTGTAGTATGTGGGTATCATTGTCTCGTGTTATGAATATGGGGAAAGTGAAGCTCAGGGATTGTGTCACTTGCCCATGCCTTTCCTGACACACGGCACTGCTCCTGGGCACATGCTGTCTGTCCATCTCTGTGTGAAGGTCCACACTGGGGAAAGAGCCTATTCCCAGCATTTATGGAGCCAAGTAGAAACTTCACAAGGAAGGAGATTCACAGATGTTGCTAATGTAGATGAGGAGCATCTTCACCCATTAAGCCTTTGGGCAGCTGGAACTTGATACCAGAGTTGACCTGTCTTTAGAGCAAGAGTTCACCGCTAGGGGGCAAGTTGTCCCATCTTGTGTCTCTAGATAGGAGAGGGGCTGTCTCTAGTACCTACTCCTGATAAATGGATAGAGTGGTTTTCATGTGTGGTGTCTGGACCAGCAGCATTGGCATCTGCTGGGAACTTTGAGGGAATGAAAATTGTAGGGTCTAACCTCAGACCTATTAAGTCAGAAACACTTTGGTAGGGCTAGCAATCTGTGCCCTTCAGGTGATTTTGATACATATTAAAGTTTGCTTGAACAGCAGTCCTTCAGGAAAGGGTGAAAATGGTTACACCCATTTCTTAGTATCCACGGGGAATTGATTCCAAGGCTGCCTACAGATAACAAAATCTGAAGATGCTTAAGTGCCTTACGTATAACCTATGCACATACTCCCATGTACTTTAAGTCATCTCTAGATTACTTATAATACCTGATGCTATGCAAATTTATAGTGTAAATAGTTGTTACACTATATTTTAAAATTTTGCATTTATTGTTCTGTGTTTTTAAATTTTGTATTATTTTTTAGTGTTGTTTTTTCCCCCCATGATGGCAAATTTTACACGAAAATTGTATTTTTTTTCTGAATATTTTCGATCCCCAGTTGGTTGACTCCCTCAGATGTGAAACCCACAGATACAGGGAATTAACTGTATGTGGGTTTGTGGTCCATGAAAACTTTGGTGAAAACGGGAAAAGATTATGATATGCCCCTGGAAGCTGAGGTTTCCACGCTTGCTTTGGCAGCATATTTATTGAAAAAAAAATGGAATGATACAAAGATGAGCATTGCCCATGTGGGAGGATGACACACAAGTCTGTGAAGCATTCCATATTTGCCAGGTGTGGTGTCTCACACCTGTAATTCTAGTACTTTAGGAGGCTCAAGCTGGAGGATTGCTTGAGATTGTAAGTTCGAGACTAGCCTAGGAAATGTAGCAAGACCCCCTCATCTCTAATATTTACTATTATTTTTTTAAAAAAAGAATCTGGGAACCAGGTGCTGTGGCTCACATCTGTAATCCTAGCACTTTGGAAGGCCAAGGTGGGCAGATTGCATGAGCCCAGGAGTTTGAGACCAACCTGGGCAACATGCTGAAACCCCATCTCTACAAAAAATACAAAAATTAGCCGAACACAGTGGTGGGCACCTGTAGTCTCAGCTACTTGGAAGGCTGAGGTGGGAGGATCACCTGAGCCTAGGAGGTCAAGGCTGAGGTGAGCCATGATTGTGCCATTGCACTCCAGCCTGGGTAACAGAGTGAGACTGTCTCAAAAAAAAAAAAGCCGGGTGTGGTGGCTCATGCCTGTAATCCCAGCACTTTAGGAGGCCGAGGTAGGGGATCACAAGGTCAGGAGTTCGAGACCAGCTTGGCCAACATGGTGAAATCCTGTCTCTAACAAACGTACAAAAATTAGCGAGGCATGGTAGCATGTGCCTGTAATCCCAGCTACTTGGGAGCCTGAGGCAGGAGGATCATTGGAACCCAGGAGGCCAAGGTTGCAGTAAGCTGAGATCATGCCATTGCACTCCAGCGCAAGACTCTGTCACAAAAACAAAACAAACAAACAAATAAAATGAAAGAGAAAAAAGTAGCTGGGATTGGAGATTAACTTTCCCCTCACCTTCCTGGCATTTAGTGTGAGTTTCCTGTTTCACTGGCACTTCCGTCACCTAGAGCTAGTCTCTCCAGACCCTGCTTGGGGTGAGATTACAGGCAACATTATCTGTTTATAGAATGGGAAATAAAACACAGGAAACGAATAAGACAAAATAATTACTTCTACAATATGGGTGGTGGGAATATGAATATTGTATTTTACTACATAGATAATATTTCTCAAAATTAAAAACAAACTAAAAATAGTTTTTTGAGTGATAGAGTTTTATGTTTGTTTCTCATGCTGTAAGTTAATAAATATGTGAATAAATGAATATACAATTTAAAAGTAAAATTAGTAAATGATATTTATTGCTGCAGAAATAGTCTGACTAGCAAAACATTTGTTTAAACTATTGTCTTCAATGACCTAGAAGACAGAACACAGGCCTACTAAGTCTGCTGAGCTCTAGCGAAGAGGAGGTAAAATAGAATGTCAGCAGCACATTCTGTTCTATGTTTGTTGCTACTGGCTGCATTTAATTAGATGTTATAAGAAAAAGACAAGCACAGGGAATTGGCCTTTTTGCAAATAAAAACAAAGAGAATTTAAAAATCCAGGCCAGGTGCAGTGGCTCACACCTGCAATCCTAACACTTTGGAAGGCTTAGGCAGGAGAACTGCTTGAGGCCAAGAATTCAAGATAAGCCTGGGCAACACTGCAAGACCCCATCTCTAAAAAAAATTATTTTTAATTAACCGAGTGTGGGGGCATACACCTGTGGTACTAGTTACTGGGAGGCTGAGGTGGGAGGATTGCTGGAGTCCAGGAGTTTGAGGTTACAGTGAGCTATGATCTCACTATTGCACTCTAGCCCAGGTGACACAGCAAGACCCTGATTCAAAAAAATCCAAGTATGTGAGATTTTGCAAGGTTGAAAAACCTAAAAACAAGAGATAA